CAACTTAGGCATCCTCAAAAGTTGCTGACTGAACAGCAAGGAACAAATTTTACAGGATTAAGCTTGGCATCTGTAGCCATGAGGGTCAAAACCTTCATATAAGCCTATTTTCACCATCCCAGAGTCCATGGCCTGAATACAGGTAGCCCTACCATTACTGAAAATTTGAAACACAGTTGCTAATAGTGGGCAGCTTGATGGAAATTCTGTTGATATCAGCCTGTAACAGTGAGGTCATAATTGGGTGACTGGGGTACAGAGAAGGGCTTGATTTTCTTGGAAGGTATGTGGAGAGGCTTAAGCAAATCAGTATAATGTCCTAGATCTCTAAAGCAGAGAAGCAGCTTCTGCTTTCCAAATATTTAAACAGTGTTATACTTTCTTGTTTACAAGGATGTTTGATGATTTCTGTATAAGCACATCCTTCTTCTATGATTAGAAGTCCTTTTGGGCCAGCTTCCTGGTAGAACAAAAATACATTAAATTGGACGAAGACAGTATGAGAAACTTACTAAAGGCTGTACCACAGGGCAGTTGCTATTGATTGGCTCACAAGTGCATATATTCCTGGGGGCAGGGATAGGGAACAGTCCAGTTCGAGCTGGTATTTGGTGTAACAAGCCTCCCTCTTGCTCCCATTTATGCCCACGGTGCAGTTGTTTCAACTGTCTGAGCGGGTGGCATGGGGGAAGGAAATTACCAAACCTTTCCTATTGCCTGTCTCCAAACATCTTGTACTATAATGTTTACTTTTTGTGCATAGAGAAGTTCCGCTTTTAACTTACATAGCTAGTAGCTGTGATAGATAGATCTGATTCCTGTTATTAAAAACAGAAGAATTTGTCATTTCATTGGCATGCCTTATTCTATGAGATGATCAGGTTCAGTGAAGAAGCTCTTTGTGTCTCTTCTACTGTTGGTCATTTACACTGAATAGGAAACAACATTTTTCAGCAATTACATATGAGAAAATGAAAGGAGAGACTGTGGATTCTTTGCTAAACTTCTACAAATTCTACCTAGGGTTTACAAAACAGTGCAATGCAGATATTCATGCAGTCATCTTTTATAGCAGTTCTCTCTCTCCTGTTTACATGCTGTAATTATTTCTGTTTCTACATCTAGATTCTGTTTTTCAACCTGGTGCCTAAAACTGAAGGAGATACAGGCACCTTTTATCCCTGCATAAAAGAGGCAACCCATGTTGAAACTTCATTGACACATGTCAGAGTTAGACAACATGACTTAACTGATCTAAAGATATTTGTTACAAGTTACTGCATAGATTATATTTATAATTCTATGCCAGCGTTTTTAAATTGAGGCATGTTCCAGCAAATAAATAGCAATCTGCATGAGGGGGAGAGCATTTTCAGAACCTAGGTATTCCATTTGCTTTGCATCCCTCAGCAGACACCTGAATATACAGTAATAAAGAATAGGTTAAGCCAATGTGTACTAAGCCAGGAGGGGATGCCGTTAGAATTGGCTTGGCAAACACAGGTCAGTGGCTAAAAAGGAGACTACACTAGTAAAGAGGTCAAAACATGAAGGGGGCAATGCTATTCTGTCAAGTGAGGTTCCAAACTCAGCTGGGGTATGCTTTTTCTGTGTTTGTCTTTTCCCATTGGGAGTTAAAGTGCATAAGATCATGTGTGGCCCATGTACAAAGTTAGAGGCAGATGGTGCATGCATCCTGAGGGTTGTGAAATACTGGTTATTCTTAGACGAGGAGAATTAAGAGGTGAGCACATGGGAAAGCAGTATGGTATAGCAAAAGGGAACTATTCTGTCTTGCTAATTTTTTAGTCCACAGCCATGTGCAATGATTGCAAGTTGCCCTAGGAATATTCTTTTACTCAAGGACAGGGCTGTGTGCTCATATGCCAAATCTAGGGCATGGGGAAGCTGTGAAGATTTTTTAAAAGCTCCATATGTCTATGCCTGCAGAATGTTGAAACAGGTCAAGTTGTTTGAGCCCAATAAGCCACTTCAGGGTTATTCTCATGATAATCAGCAAGTGCAAGCAGGAATGTTGTGGATGGGACATTTGGGAAGGCTTTCATTCATTGGGGTTGCCATAATTCAGAAATGACTTGATGACACATAAAAACAGTTTTAATACATGTTTGCATATGAATGACTGTCTTTTGCAGCATCCAGTACTGCTGAGTAAAGTTGGGCTTTATATCACAGTAGTTCTCAGTCGCAGTAGTAACAGAAGCCCATATGTTTTGGTGCTTGTTATGAATCTGCCAGCAAAAGGCAGAATCCTATGAGACATCCCTCTGCATCCAAGATCTACAAGTGGGAGTTATCAGTCCTCTTTCCTGCCTCTGAGCTGGGAAGGGAAGGTGAGGGCTAGTCCCTGTCCACTGAGCTCCTGAACATTTCCCAAATGTGGAGAAGGAAGGGCTCTCCTGGATGTTGCCTTCACTAAGTTAAAAAATGCCCTCAGGAGTGGTGAGGTGGTATATGCAGTTCAGGTCCCTTTAATAAAGTTGTTGGGTGGGGAAGGGGTGAGAATTCTTGAATGTTTCCCTTCCTTAGATTTACCTGTCTGTTCTCATACTGATAATGTATGGATCCATGTGTCTGTTGGCATCAATAACTCTGGTCTGGTTTCAGAAACTCCACTGATCTGCTGTCTCTTTATGACACTTCTGGACAGGCTGAGCTGAATCTAGTTTAGCTGCTATGAACTATGGCTCAACATTCAAAAAAGCCAAGAGCTGTTTCTGCATAATTCAGAAAGAATGTCTGCCCTTGCTCTCGTTCTCTTTAAATGATACCTTCTAACCTAGTTCTGTTCCAAATGGAACAAAGCACTGCATGCCTGGCTCCACCCTCATTAGAATGACAATGGGCATCTTTGTAGGACTGAAGCCATAATGGAACAAGTATGTGTGTTTCGTCATGTGTTTACCAGGATCACTGCATATAGCAGAGGCGGCTTCAGTCTTAGAACACCTGCATGGGTGAAAGCAGTTGAGCCTCACTTTGCACACTTTTCTTCACAGTTCATTTCATTTGAACTGATAGACTTTGGTAAGAGATAAATGTCTATAGTGAAAAGTGCAAGAAGTTAAGAAGGGTGGGCAGCACTTCCTTCCACTGAGATGCATTGCTTTGTCTTAAAAATCCCCTTAGCTTCATATGTGACTGGGGCAGGCAAATGAACAACCAACAACTAGTTTGGTCCTGGGAAAGAAAAGAACAAGAGTGAGATCTGACCAGATAACAGCTTTGCAGAGTGTTGGTGAACTTACTTATTTATTGATGGCTTGGTATGAAAGGACAGCTGCTTGTCTGTACACCTACACAAATCTGCATGTTACCTTTGAAAAGAGAAAATAAAAGTAAATGCAAGGCAAATGGCCTCCACCATTTCAAGATATCTCCTCCTGAATTTTCATGTTGTTTTTCCTATGAGGTTAGACAGTATGTGCTGCTCTTTTATTACAATTACTGTTCCTTTGTCTGTTTCTGACATTAGCAAGCTTTTTTCTTCTCCTGCAAACTACCCCTTAAGTATGAAATTAGCATAATTATCCAGTCCAGCCAATTTCACAATAACTTTGAATTATAAGGGACAGAGCTACTTATTTTACATGAGGCCACAACGATAAAAAAAAAAAACATGCAGACTCACCCCAACAAAATTATAAATTATAGTCACCAATGCTTGAGTGCTTCCGTAGCACTAAGAAGGAAGCCATTACTTTAAGGAAATAACCATACCCATCCTAAACATTGTTGTGCAAAGTAACAGCTGAAGTGACATGCCCCCCACTTATTTTGTATCTCTAGTCTGGAGCAGTCCTTACTAGGTAGAGAGTGACATTTTTCCAGTGGAGACATTAATCACACAGTGGAGGATGTGCTTTGGCACACATGACATTGTCCACCCCATCAGCTGCTTTTCCACTCTAGAATTTCATGGAGCAGCTTTTTTTAGTTTTGCAAGCTTTCAACTTTTCTAGATCCTACACTGTGAGGCACCCATGGCTCTACTCCTGCATTTATTTTGTCTGCATTTTGCCAAGCCCAAACAAGAAGGCATAGAATTGACCAAAGTGTCTCACTTCAAAGCAAAACCAACAATCCTTGATTGCACTTGGAAAGTCTCAGTGGAAGAATTTACACTTCCCAAGTCACGTTATACTTGCAAAGTTTTTTGCCTTTTTTCCTGATTCAAAAGACGGTGAGCCTTTTCTGTGGTACAAACGTAATAAAATATCTAGGGCTCAACATGGCACTTCTTGTGAATCCTATTGACTCTATAAGGTCCAAAAAATTTCATAGAGCTGTGGCAAATCATTGTCCTTAGTTTTGTGTCCCATCCAAGGAGATTGTCCCTGCCCATAAGCATGGTTAAAATTATCAGAAGAAGGTCATGGAGTTCATAACTCCACAGCTTCATCATGGTCTCTTCATTAAAGTTAAGAAATAAAGGACTGTTAATGGCTGCACCCAGTGACAGTAAATCAGCCTTCCCCAATCTCATGGTTTGCAGAGGCATTTGCACAGCAACTCCCAGAATTCCTATCCAGGAGGACCATTGACTGGGAATTCTGGGTGTTGCTGTCCAAACGTGTCCAAAAGGCACAAGGTTGAGGAAGGCTGCTGTAAATGGCCATGGAACCTGTTGGTGAGAGGAACCTGTATCCTCTCACCAAGGCAATTGTATCTGGAAACACCCCTACCCTGAATTTCCAGGTGTTGATGAGCACTATTATGTCCTGGCTATTCTCCAGTGTTCCTAGTCCTCCAGGCAACTCATACTGTCCTTGTCAATGGCCCTGCTGACAGTGTTGGTGAGAGAGTTGTAGTCCAACATGTCTAGGGGTGCTAGGTTGGAGAAGTGGTTCAAGTGGCCTCACGGGCTAGGGATGGTGGACGTTGTATTCCAACATATCTGGGTTGGTGAAAGCTGCTCTGACCTGTTGCAGCAGCCTTAAGATATTTGCTTCTAGAATGTTGATCTTCTACTGTTCCAGGCATGACTACTTGGAAACTGGATAATTAATCTGCAGTGATGGAAGGCAAGGGGCCTTATCGTATCTACGACCCTGGTGGCGGGACACAGGAGGAAGCATCTGCTGCCTTCGAACGGCTGGTGGAGGAAAATACCAGGCTGAACAAGAAGATGCAGGGGATTAAATCATTAGGTAATGGTGTGGATGGGATGGAAACTGAGTGGTACAAATTGTATGCCGTTGTTTCCTTTGGAATTGAGCATGGGACAAGTTGCCAGAAAGCCACCTTTATTTTCATTCTCAGCAGTCAAGTGTAAAACTGAGAGCCAATGTGGTCTGGTGGTTAGAGCGTTGGACTGGAGACCTGGAAGATCCAGGTTCTAGACACCACTCAGCCATGAAGCTCACTAGGTGACTTCGGTTCAGTCAGTCAGTCTTAAGCCAACTGAACCCAAAGGGTTGTTGGTGCAAGGATAAAATTGAGCTATTTTAGTTGCCTTGCATTCCTTACAAAAAAGTGGGGCATAAATGCAATGGAAGAATAGTTTCCATGGGGATAGACCATTTGCCTAGTAGTGGTTCTACATGCAGACATTTTGGGTTACAGTGGAAGATTCATGTTGTAAGAACAAATGTAACTAAATGCTAAATTGTCTCTCCTTAATTACTGGCAATTTGCTTCATTTGTTAGCAATCCTGCCTTTGTTTTTGTCTCACTCCCCTTTTCCATCATTTCCTCTTGCTACTCCTGAGAGCTTCTCTAAATTGAATTAGGCCCTTGGGTTGAAAGAGATTCAATACCCCTGGCATATGCCAGAGTCACTGGAATTTTAACGTAATCCAGTAGGGCTAGGAATGTGAGCTGCTGATAGATTAGATCACTGTGGCTGATGTGGTGCTGGAAAGAGTGGTCAAGTGCAAGTGTGTATACAAGGGAGTGTTAAATCATGCTCTTGCTTGTTTTGCCAGGGGAGCTATTGGAAGAGTCTCAGTTAGAAGCATCCAGATTGCGTCAGAAAGTGGAGGACCTAGTGAAGGACAATGAAATGCTAAGGTCGACCTCATCTCTTGACAAACTTGCTGAAATAGCAGGTACGCGCATAAAAGGACCAATCCCTGAGCATGTTCTGGTGTTCTGACAGACCCAGATGGGTCTATATGCAAGGGTGGGTGATTGGACAACTGGTGGGGGAAAGAGGAATTGGGTTGGGAGGAAGAATAAGTTTCCAGTGGTGCGTTTGGCTTTCTTGTGTGGGCATACCAGGAAGTTTTAAAAATCTATTTCTAAATGCACCCAAACCACTGTGTCATGTGAAGAAGAGTTCACTATAATAGGAAAGCTTATATGAGCTGTCCCAGAGCAAACAAAACTAGATCTAACAGAAGAAAATGTCTAGGTGGCAGCTCTTCTCTACCACTGAAGCACACACACACAGTTTCTGTGATAGAACATGTCAGGTGGCAATGGTAGCTCAGTGGTAATGAGATTTTACTGAGGTGCAATCCCTATCACATCCAGATAAAAGACAATATTTAGGTAGATTGGAGATGATAATACCAACTTTTTTTTTAAAGTCTCCATCCATGAAGGGTTTGTGTTTTGGACCCACAATTACTGCTTCAAGAATACATTTGAAGGCCAAAAACTATCTTCTGACCATCCCTGACTGAAAGTTCATTGAGAACTTCAGTGCCATCTTCTATGTTAGCGCTAATTCTCTTATTACTGGTTTAATTGCCTAGATTTCTTATGACTTTTCATGCAACATTCTCAGTTGCATAGGGCAGACTTCATTTGATGTCCTCCAGATGTTTTGGACTTCGGTGTTCAGCAGCCCCAACCAGCATGGTCTGTTGATAGGAACTTTGAGAGTTTTAGTCCAAAACATCCGGAGGGCACCAGGTTGGAGAAGGCTAGCCTAGGGCTTGCAACTCAAAGACAAGGCAGCTTACATGCTTTTCTTGAGGGAGGATAGTTATGTCCTTTAGTAATCATGTTGAACACAACGATTGTGACAAAGGCTTTTTTGTGCTACATGCACAACAGGATTGCGTCTTAATTTAGATTCTTTCTTAGTTTCATTCCTAATTCATAAAACTTTTAAAAGTTGTGTGTTAAACTGAATTCCTGCATGCAAATAAGCTGCAACAAGATTGTAAAGAGGTTTTTCTTGTCTTATCTAGCTTGACCTTTACTGTAAAAGATTAACAGTAAAATGAAAATGGAACCACAGCTAGTCATTTCTGTGAGCAAAAATCCCTGTCCTTTGGCACTAAGGATTTTAGTCTCTAATTAGGCTCATTTAAGGTTCTAGATTGGATAGTATTCTGTTAGGAATATTAAAATATATCAAAGGCTATAGGAGATTTCACAGGATTATCTTCATGTTGCATTACATCCATAGAACATTTATAATTTGGCAGTTTTGTGACTAGTGCTATGGATGAATTGAGATCAGCAGACTGAATTTGTGGCAAACAGATATGGGGATTTCCTTACATTTAGGTAAATTGTTTGCAAGTATCTGTATTATTGTTCATGTGGCCTTAGCCTGTCATTACAATTGACAAAATCAGTCAGATGGCTGGGCCAAGTTACCCGGGTAAGTTCTCTCATGTATGTATTTTGGTAGACATTTTGAGCTGAGAATGGTACTCACAATGTGGAGATGTTCCCCATCTGAAGGATAACTCTGTGGATCAGGGCAGTATCCAACACTGCTGCTGCACTGACACCAAACTGTTTGCTGCCCTGACAGTTTTACCTAGAAAACCTCCTCACTCAAGGACTGGTATTGCAGTAGATGTAGCTTATGCCTGGGTTATGTCAGTGGAGTATAAAGCACGACAACCCTGGCTGTTGCCCTGAGTTGGGTGGCTTAAAAATTTTGGCCAAATGAAATCCTCAAGCATTTCTAGTCCTGTGCTATAAGGCTTTGTCAAAATATCCTGATGAAGTATGCGGGCAGGGGAGTAATTGGGTTCTGGGTAAGCCTGGAATTGCTATTAGATTTCTCAATGAGGAGATCTGTAATAACTGACAATTTTTCCCCTAAAACTAAACTTACGCATCATTATTGATATTTCTCTTCATTGTATACCAGTAGGATTCTTTTGGGTATCTTTTATGAAGCAGTCCCAGTTCACACAGAAAAATGATGATGCCTTGTGAGCTGACTGTGGACCTTGGAACAGGTTCTTTCACTGCCTTCCCCAATATGGTGCTTTCTGGTTAAGTTGGACTATAACTCCTATCATCTGCAGTCATTGTCAGTGGACGTATAGTGAAACATGATAGATAGTTAAAAAGGCTTAAGTGCCAAAACAGAAGTTGCACATGCCAGAGATAGCTGCAGAGGGGCACCGTCTGTACACGTTTCCATGCAAGTGCTAGAAGCTCCCAAGCCAAAACAGGAGAGTTGGAGTGCCTGGCTTTAAAGGAGAACTTAGACAGACTGGTCAGTTCAGAATCCTGGTGGAATGGAGCGAACCAGGTGGATACAGGCATCTCTGGATACAGATTCTATAGCAAAGACAGGGGCAGACCTTCTGTAGGAGGTGTTGTTCTGTATGTCAAAGAGGACACAGTATCAAGTGAACTAGAAACCCTTAAAAAGGCAGATTCCTCCACAGAAGCATTCAGGGTGATAATACCTAACTTCACAACTAATGAAACAATGTTCTGAGAGTAGAAATGCCTTAAACAAACAAACAAATTTAGCGCTGTGGTCCCACAGGCTCGAATGCTTAAGGGTGATCATGAGATGGAAAATGAAATCTGGGATGCCTCCAAATGAGGAAGTGATGTAATAATGGGTGACTTCAGTTATCCCCACATTGAGTAGATTAATGTATGTGCCAGTCATGACAAAGAAGTTAAATTTCTCATTACCCTATATGGCTATGCCCTAGAACAATTGATCTTGCAACCTATCAGATTGTAGGTGGCAACCAATTCTACGTGGTATCACCCAGTATCTAGTATGAGATGTGTGTGTTGCTGACACACTTGAAAACAGTGACCACAATGCTATCAGTTTTAATATATATTTAAGTGGAAAATTGCCAAGAAAGTCCAGCAAAGTCACATTTAACTTCAAAAAGAGGAAACTTCTCTAAAATGAGGGAACTCGTAAAAAGGAAGTTGAAAGGGGGAGTTGAGAGGGCTAGATCCCTTCAAAATGCTTGGAGATTACTCAACATGACAATCAGATGCTCAGCTTAGAATGTACACCACTGCTTAGGAAAGGTAGCGTCAAGTCCAGAAGTTCATCGGCATGATTAATGAGCAGTGTCAAGGACGCTAAATGGAAATTTTACCAAAATGAAGCAAACAAAAAGGAGCACCAGCTTGCATGAGGAAAGCACAAGCACAGAATGAAAGATATTATCAATACGCGCCTCAAAATGCTTTTTCATAAGAGAGAGGCTCACAATGAAAAATTCCTTCAAGGTATCTGAAGTAGGAAACCAGCTAGGAAGGTAGTTGGTGCAGAGGATGAAAATGGAATTAAAAGAAATGCTGAAGGAGATAAGAAGTTTGTGAAGAAGCTGAATGAATTCTTTTAATTGGTTTAAAAGGTTAAGGAGAAGTTTAAGAAGTTATCGGATAGATTCCTGTACCTGAAACGATGTTTTCAGGAAGAGGAACTAAGGCAGATAATAGTGAGAACAGAGGGAGTTCTTGACCTTATTGACAAATTGAAAGCTAATAAGTCCCTGGGCTCATATGATACCTATTCTAGGGTTTTTAAAAAACTTAAATTGCTGAGTTCTAACAAAAATCTGTAACATATCCATACCAGAACATTGGAGAATGGCCAGTGTAACACTGATTTTTTAAAAAAGGGATCCAGGGTGGCATCTACTGCTTAGTACACATGTTGAGGATAAATTGGTGGAAAGCATTATTAAAGGTAAAATTAGTAAAGGTTATAGAAGAACAAGTTCTGCTGAAAAAGAACTGGCATGTCTTAAAAGTAAGCTTTTTCTCAGTAAGCTTTTTGAGATCTTTGAGAAGTGTCAACATATGGGCAGGGGTGATCTGGTAGACCTTATTTACTTGGACTTCCAAACAGCTTTTAAACAAAGTCTGCTAATAAAGATCTCAGGGCAAATTTAGCAATCACAGAGTAAGAGTAGATAGAGGTTTTCTTAAGGATCGGTAATGGATTATAGAATAGAAAGCAGAAGTCAATGGTAAATTCTGCTAATAGAAGGATTTAACAGTGAGGTCCCACAGGATCTGTATTGGACCAACATTTTTCAACTTTCTCATAAATGGTCTGGAATTAGGAATGAGCAGTGAAGTGGGCCAGTTTGCTGACAACAGAAAATCACTGAGGTGGTTAAAACAAATATGGGATTGTGAGGTACTCCAGAAGGATCTTCCAGACCGAGAGAGTGGCCATTAAAATGGCAAAAGTGGTACTTAACCAGGAATACAGTGCTGGGGTTGTGGTGGACAGCTTATTATTATTATTATTATTAGAACATTTCTATGCCGCCCCTTGCCGAAGCCTCGGGGCGGCTTACAACACAATAAAATACAATACAATACAAAAATAACAATATAAAATTAAAATTAATAATATAAAATAAATAAGAAATATAAACGATATAAAAGAAGTTATAAAAGAAAAGAAGTCGCCCTGGCCAGATAAATAAGTAAATATTGTTAACAATTAAAATGACGTTTAAATAAAAAGGTCTTCACCTGGCACCAAAAAACAAATGACGGCACCAGGCGGACCTCTCCGGGGAGCATATTCCATAGATTGGGCACCACCGCAGAGAAAGCCCTCCTCCGAGTACCTACCCTCCTGATTTCTTTCATGGAGGGTTCCCGGAGAAGGGCCTTAATGAAAATGAAAATGGTGACTCAGTGTGCTACTGCTGTGAAAAGGGTAACTCCATGTTAGGGAAAATCAAGGGAGGACTTGAAAATAAAGCTGCCAAAATCATGTTATCTTCAGATAGATCTGTGGTATGGCTACACTAAAAGTATTGTGTGCAGTTCTGGAACAGCACCTGAAAAGGTTATTGTAGAGCTAGAAAAAGTGCAGTAAATGTCAGAGATCAAAGGGCTAGAGTAACTCCCTTGTGAGGAGAAGTTACTGTTCATGCAATTAGCTCAGAAAAAACGGCAACAAAAAGGAGACATGATAGAGATGTACAAAATTATGCATGATTTGGAGAGAATGGATTGGAAGACATTCGTTTCTTACTTTCATAATGCTAGAATTAAGGGTATTCCCATTACACTGATTGGTAGGAAAGCAGCCCATAAGTTAAGTTATGGAATTCACTTCTACAACAGGTAGTGATGGCTGGCTTGAAGAGAGGATTAGGGAAATCCATGGATTCCTGCTAGCTCAGTGCTGCCTCCAAGATCAGAGGCAGCATGCTCTGTGCACCAGTTGCTGGAGAGCATGGGCAGGTGGGTGTGGTGGATTTTCTGTGGACAAATGGTTGGCCACTGTGTGAAGAGAACGCTGGACTTAGATGGACCTTGGTCTGATCCAACCAAGGGCTATTCTTAGTCCTTGTTCTTCCCTTCTACTTCTTTGGCTTGTGTTAACTGGACCTTGCATGTAAGCTGTTGTGTGGGCAATATGGTTGAAAAGTAGGTTGTGTGAAGGTATAAACAGTTGGATCGCTAACTCTTTCTACAGATGAGAACTTGAGAGTCATTTTGCCAGTGCGTTCTCACTTTTAAGCGGCTGTTGCTCTCATTGTGAAAACGTGAAATCAGTTGAACACCAATTATAGGATTGGAAAGCATTTTGCTTTTGCAAAACACATTTGCACAAACACGCACACACATTCCCCTTTCCTATTTTTGAAAATGTCTACTTCTTTGGAGACTATATGCTTTAAGAGGCACCATCACTTAGCTGGTAAAGTACCTTTGTTGCATGCAAAAAAAGCCAGTGTAATCCCTGGCATCTCCTGTTCAAGGATTAGGTGACAGGAAAGGGCTCTCTCTGCTGGAGAGCCTGCAGAACTGCTGCCACTGAGAGTATACTGGATCAGGCTCAATGGACAAATAGTCCAACCTGGGAGACCCAGGGTGTTGAAGCTGTTTGGCTCAAGGGCTGAAGGCAAAAGGAGATGGGGCCAAAATACCAAAAATAATGGCCTACTTTAGCTGGAAACTTACTGTTAATTAAGCCTTAAGAGAGGCATCTCAGTCTTTCAGAAGTGACAAAACTATGCAAATACTGGGAAACCACCAAATGATCAGCTGCCAGGGGAAAAGGTCGTGGCCATCAATGGGCCAGATTTGTCCTCCAGGCAGGTTGGATATGGCCTGTGGGCCTTCTGCACCCCTTGGCTAGACAGCTGCTTTCACAGTTCTCGTCTTCAGTGCGGGAGGACATACCTTCTGAGACTCATAAAGGGAAGGGGCAGTGGAGTGAACAGCACAGTTGTCCTGTCCTCACTGCACACTCAGCAAAAGCCTTCACCAGCGCAAGGGGAAGTATTCCAGTCATGATCTGGGCCTACTGGGATCCCAAGCAAGTTGGGCCTGCATCAGGCAGTCATCATAGTCCTGTCAAAGGCCACAAATTGGCAGCTGCTTCCTTTATTGCTTGTACTACCATTTTGATTTTCTGCCTCAGGCACCAAAACGCCAACCCTTTTTGGGAAGGGGCGTAGTACAATGGGGACATGGTGGGATTGTTGCATGCAGACTAAAATGTAGTTGGGACATGTTTGAAAGATCCATGTGTAAAAAGCTCTGAGAGCAGCCTTCGTGACCCTTACAGATGGGACCGTGATTTTATTGTGACGTGGGGTAAATGTTTAATGTGTTTTAAAAGTTAAATAGAAATATGGCAGGTACCCTCACCCACCCCTTTGAGAGCTAAATGTGCTGTAAATGGAAAAGCTGAGGGGTGATTTTGATCTTTCAATATTGCAGTGTACTGAGCCCAGGAGGAAAGGGGGAAATTCCAGCTGACACTTGATCAAAGGCCTTAATACACATTTGCATTGCACACCAAACACTGCCTGAATCATGTCCGTAGAGACCAGTCACTGATTACTACATGTGGAAGACAGAGTTTGACATCCGGAGGTCTCCTGTGTATGTCTGTGCTTTTTTTTTTTAAGTCTCTGTGCATTCATATTCTCTGGAACTGGCTAAAATAAGAAGGGGAAAAGGCAAGTGTTATGAATTTAGATACTTTAACATATTTCCATTGCTTGTATTTACAATTAATTTGTCTCAATTATACTGGAAGGGCCCAGTTAAATTCAAATTGCTGATACAAGGTTGGGTTTCCTATTTAAAAAAATCCCCAGAATCTATTTCCCATTAATGCAGGAGATGAATTTCCCAACTATCTTACCCTCCCCTCCCCCACACACTCTTCTCAGTTCTTCATCGTTTCACTGCAAAGTCAGATCTCTAAGGTGAGAATTGTTCTCACCATTTACAGGAGCAGTCCCAGATCTTTGTTCTTCCCCAGAGGGTTCAGGTGACAACCAGAAGGAGCTGGAAAAAGCCACCCGGAAGCCATCCTCCACAGTAAGAAACCATTCTTGATTATTATAAGAGTGCAGGCTTTGTAAGTGTTCGTGGGAATAAGGGCTGTTAAAGTTAATGGCATACTTCTGAGTAAGTAGGGCGCATAAAATCAGGCTGTGAAAATGCTAAATCTTAAAAGAGAGATCCAAAAGGAACAACCAAATAGCACCAAACAAAACCTTTTTCTTCCATTGAAGTTTTATGTTTTTAAGAGTATCTACACTTGGAAGAAAGTTACTTGGGCTATAGAATTGCTATGGATTAGTATGGGACTTTTAAGAACCATCTGCTTTGCAATCTTACTCCTCCTCCCTTCAGTTCTGAGAGGTGGACTATTTTATAATTTACATTTTACTGATGCAGAACTGGGGCTTAAAGAGTGATCTCTCCTAAGCCGGCCATTGATGTTCATTCATATCTAAGGCTAGAACTTCTCATCATCCAAGTGTTGGATGTTCTAGGAATCTGAAAGGTTGTCTCTAAATTGCCTAGAACTTAGGGATGTCATATGGCAAAAAGGAATGTCTCTTATCCTAGCCTTTTGTACTTTTGGTAATAAACTGGTGCTGAACTTTGTATATTATCTGAGAGTATTATAACTACATCTCATGCTGTAGCATGAAAAACCTAATTGTTATTAGGCAGAGCCTGACATTTATTCCTCGTGCATGGTGATTAAAATGTTACCTCTGCTCTTTTTTTAGATCAGAAAAATATGCAACATTTAAAAAAATGCAGTTCAGTCCAATGAATTTTATGGTTGCTCATTCCCCCTTTGACTGAACTCAATGCCCCAGACTTAACTAGACTGGAGTAAAGCCTTCCATATAGCCTGAAGTGCCTGATCCTGCCTAATCTTGGAAGCTAAGCAGGATTGGGTGGAATCTGGATGGGTGGCTTAATGTTGCGAACCACCCATAGAGCTTTGGCTACAGGTGGTATAGAAATGTAATGAGTAAAAGTAATAATAATGCCGCTGAGAAAGATGAGAAAGCTATCAGCATGTTTAGGGGAACCCCAAGGCTTGCAAAAGCATTGCAAGAGTCTTTTAACGCTCCACCAGTAGCTCACTGTGCTTAACCTCTTGGAGTCACAGAATATGGACTCTCAATTGGAAAAGAACAGTGGAAAATGTGGGAGGGATTGAGAGAGGGAATATGTCTGCTTAACTCACTTAATGTTTATAATATACTGGAAGGATGTTACCTACATCCAAGCAATGGGATCACTAGCTTTAATAGTCATAAAACACTTCAGTTACACAGGTTAACACATTAGCCTCCACTTTTTGTCACTGTGGGAGACACTGTATAATTTAGAATATTTTGCTCTAAATATCTGTTGTTGTTTTTTTTGCTTTAAAATCAGGGGTCTTCATCCGAGTTTGAAATTGTTGGTGCTGAAGAGAAGAAATTATCACAAGAAAGCAGCAGAAAATCTGTAAGTTAATCTAAAAAGCAAGCTAAGATTCAAATGTAAAAGAAGAAAAAGTTGATTGTGTGCTCCTTCTGGACAATGGCCAGAACCACAGTTGTGTGTGACGTTTTATGTGGTGGCTTTTTCATGATCTCCATGTACAGTAGTTCAGATGGGAATGGGGGCAGGTACGTCCAGAGGAAGCCCAGTCAGCAGGTTTTATTTATTGGTGGTTATTTATTTATATTATACCATGTAGCACTGAGGAACATGTAATCATCCATCATCTGCTTGTTTTTACCTCAAGGCTGTGGCGGTTCTGGTGGTGATGCATAGCCTAGGGCCAAAAATCTTGAGGGGGAAGCCTCCTTTTCTCTGGAGGTTGCTGCTCAGATCTGAACTTCCACCCCCACTGCTTTTTGTTTATTAGAGGAAAAATGTGCAAGAGTAAACAGAGCTTTTTCTCCATGGAGCAAAAAAACTGCTGGGGGGTGGGGTGGATTGGGCAATTTTGATGGAGGCAGGTGGGCTGAGCCCATAAAGTGGGGAAAGAAAGATGCGTCCATGTTACGTGTTACCTCCTTCCGTGATCCTCTGCAACAGACTGGCACTTCCCAAAGAAGCTGCTTTATTTTATAAAAATGAATTTCCTTGACTGAGCACAGTGCAGAGTTTTCCTTAAGAAGGAGGTTTTCTAGATATATTGCTGGTCCACCAGCTGTCTCGTCACTGCTGTACCGCCACCCAAAGAGGCTGTAACCACAAAAACCAGGCACGTGCCGTATGATTTTTTCCGTTGGCCCCTTTCCCAGAACAAGCCAACGGGCATTCTCGCACCAAAATATGAGTGGAGCAATCCGAAAGTGCTTTTGTCAAGAGGTTTTGCTTTTTCTTTTTTTCTTTTCTTGCTCACATATGCAAAGCTGCATGCTGGCTGGCTACTTCCTTGTCCCCAGTTTGGCAGTGTCTAATTGCAAGCCTGGGCAGGCAGCCAACAGAATGGCAGACACAAGCACCTCATACTACGTCAGGTACAACAGTGTGCCACTTCTCAGGAAAGCAGGCCGGAAAAACCCAAGTGGTGAAACTGACTGGCGCAATCAAGCGAATCCTTCTCACCCTTTGAGCCCTGCTCCTTGAAGAAAGTGGAACACAGCCCCACACAGATTTTTTTAAAGTGTCAGCATCTTTGAAGAGTTTACATCTTTCGTACACTGAACAAGACTGAGAACAGCTGCTGTTCATTACTGCTTAGCACCAAGGAGTTCAGAAGGTTTGAGGAGATCTGAGAGGTGCCTTCAAACTTAGGCAGGTTCAGGAAATGAACAGATAACTACCTATTCCAACCTGCCCCAACTTAACGCCCTCCAGTTGTGTTAGACTACAACTCCCATTGACTCCAGCCAGCATGGCCAATGGTCATACTGGTTGGGGATTATAGCTTATATGGTGGACATAATGTTGTGGGAGGCTGGCGGATACCTAAAGGATAGGCTGTGGTTCTGAGTTTGCTCCTCTTGATAAGAGCATCCTCATGGACAGTCCAGCCATTAGAAGCAGCAGCCAGGGGCAGGCAGCTTTTACCTCTTCCCCACCCCCACTCTTCCTCTTGCAGCTGCTTCTGCTGGCAGAGATCTGCTATGGGCAACTGCTCGATCCCCTGGAAGAGTGGAGGGGAATGTGAGAAGGAAAAAATCGTCCTTCCTTCTCTTCTTCCAGCAAAATTCTCATCCAGGTTTCAGTTGTCTGTGAATGGAAGGTCTTCTTCCTTTCACGGGCCCTTAGTTAGGGTCCATGCCATAAAAGCAACCACCAAAGCTGCTTCAGCTTCAAACAACTGATAGGCTAAAACAAATCCATTCTTTTAATTCATGGCTATGAATTTCCCTTACTTTATCTCTTTGATCCAGCTTATAATTGGATCATGTAAATGTCAGAACAGGAATTTTAACCCAAATCAGTCACCTCTGTTAATCATGTTAGGGGCAAGAGCCTCTTTCTCTGGAAAAATCTTTATAACTTCTGTTTCCAGAGCCAAGTCCCACCTACTTGGTATTGCCCATGGCTGAACTATTACACATAGAAACGGGGAATCCTAACTTGGTTATTTTAAAGCTGTTGCACAAGTCTCTTCGTGCCTTGTTCTTGAGCCAACATGAGTGAGCTGAGGGAAGCAGAAGGTTAAAGGAAGCAGGAATTGTTAAGTAACTATAACAGATTTGGAGAAGGTGTGGCACAGGAAAGACATCATTGCTTGAAGAACTAGGTGGGGCAAATTGCCACAGGTATGTCAAGCTCACAATGGAGGGTGCACTGTTAAAGGTGCTTAGCTTGCTGTTCTTTGCCTGTAGAAACTGCTTGCATGAGTTAAAGTTGGCCAAGAGCCACCTTTCCTAAGCAACACAAGAAGTCAGACCCTTGGTCCATTTAGCCCAATATTGTTGGCACTGTCTGGCAGCAGATCTGCAAGATTCCGAGCAGGATTTCTTCCTGCCAGGAATTGAATCTGGGACCTTCTGCATGCAGACTAGGTGTTCTGCCACTGAGCTACAGCTCCTCTTTATAAACCTCGCAGAAGAGCCAGTGTTGTCAGCTAAGGTGATACCTGCCAAGTGCTCAGCTGCATGTAATTGGATGACCATGACTGGTTCTGCACAAAGCTTGATTAATTGCTCTGACAGCCTGTAAAATTATTATGCGGAAATGTTGCATAACCCACTTAGACTGCCCAGCCTCTCATTGTGTGTGTGTGTTCACTCATTTCTTTTTAATCAGAGAGTCATTTATCATGAATTTGTGTCTGACCATTCTGAGATTAAAAATAAAAATAATAAAAAGATCCCCAATTCTGTGCCAGAAGCCAGTGCATGCAATTTAAAGTACTGTGACAGCACAAATGGCAACGAATTTGTTGTGCTACAATGAAAGTGAATGTGGGTAGCTGATGATGATGTATAGAAACTTTAGAAGAGCTGAAAGAGCCTGGAAAAGAGGGTTCAGAGCCAAGTGGGACTGAAAGAAAATAATTCACTAGCAGTTTCTACTCTCAGCATGAAACTGCATGAACATGTGGAAACATCCTAGATTACCTAAAGTTCCTTTTAAAACTGGAGTGGGGTTTGCATGGTTATTCAAGTGCTCTTGGACTCCGGTTCCCAGCAGCCCCAGGCAACATTACCAATGATCAGGAATTATGATGGAGGTCCTCACCTGTGATCTAAAGGGACAGAATGTTCCCCATGTGCTCCAGGAAAGTAGCCTTGGGATACTTGTCAAAATGCATTGGGCATTTGCATCACAGGGAGTTTCCTTCTCTTTTTTGTTTTATATAAAGGTAGTAAAGGGGTTCTGGTGTGTTGGTAGTGTGTGCATTTTCCTCCTCCATCTTATCCCCACAACATTAACCCTGTGAGGTAGGCTGGGCTGAGAGTCTGTGACTGGCCCAAAGTCACCCAGTTGGCTCCATGGCTGAGCCCAGATCGCCTGAGTCCCAGTCCCATGCTCTTAACCACTACAGAGCCACACTGGCTCTCTCACATTTGTAGAACAGTATCCGTCAAATCATCCAAGTATTGTTGTCAAAACCTGAAAAGCTGCTTGGAGTCACAGATCTCTAGCACTCACAACACCGGCGAGGCCCTGGCTCTTTAGCAGCCTTTTCTTGCTATCTGACATGGCTGGAATGCAGTTGTTGTCAGAAGGCAGTTGCAGCCTCCTCATCCTCCTCCGGCTAGCACAGCTATTTACCCTGTTTACTGAGGACAGTGCGGATTCCAGGGAGCAAAGGTCAGGGAAGGTTGCTGTGGGAGAGCTAGTTTGAACCTGCCTGAAGTACAGTTACCTTTCCTGAAATGTTTTAATGTTGGGACTGAAAACAAGATGAGACAATGCCATGCTTGGCATTGAAGGCAGTCCTACAATTTATGGTTTGACCTCTTGTTTATTTCCCTCATGAGTCAGCACTGAGAGATGTGGACAAAAGCCGCTTGCAATATTGGGATTTTTCTGTGCCTTTCTGGACCAAGTTTATTAGGCATGGTCATGGAGGAAAGAAAGAATGAATCAGCAAGTAAGCCTGGAGTGAAAGGTGGTATTTCCCCTCCTTTCACCTTCCAATGGGTTGCATGTCAGCTGACTTAGCTGGCCTGAAGCCTGATCCAGCCATCCTGGCCACCAGGCTGAGCAACTGCTCTTTCCTGATTTGTCTCTGATCTGAATAGTGGCTTACATCTCCCAGGCAACCAAGCAATTACATCATCATAACAATCCAGGCCCAGCAGGGTGTTCCCAAACTGTTGGCTCAGGGAGGAGGGCTTGGGGTCAGGTACCTACCTATGGATGAAGGTGTGGCTCTGTACGTCAAGGGCAGGTGTGCCATGAATGAGGGCCTAGTTGGCCTGTATAAAGACACATGTGTTTCAGCTGCAGAGCTTCTGACACGGGAACTGGTGTGCACCGAGGCTTTTGGTATGAGAGGCACCAGTGCAGCTACAGAGGTAAATATAGAAACTGGAGAACAAGGGATCTTACAAAGAAGGAAGGGTAAGGCGTCTAGATCTGAAAAATGTGTGTGGGGTGGACATCCAGGTTGGTTCAAGTAGATGTAGAATAATGAGTAGAGTTCATCCCAGCATGTGATCCTCACAGACTAGAGAGAGTTAATGTACTGTACAGTGTTCACCTGAGTTGTTTTCTAGGAGTAAATTGCTGGGGATAATTGCTAGAAGGAGCAACCCCAAGAACCCCTCCATAACTGTCTGTGCTATGTTATGTTCCTTAATCCCAGGTGTATGAAGACAGGCTGCATGTTCTTAGTGTTAAAGGTGCTCTGTCCATGATCAGAGGCTACTTACTCAGCAGTCAGCAGGGAAAGCAAATACCAGTCCCTTGCAACCTTAGTGAATCCTTGATTACTGTTTTGTCTGGACAGTTATGTTGCAAATTGCTTTTCGTTAATGTAAAGCAGCTATCCTAGTCTAGCAATTCCTTCATCCAGGGATCTGGGAAACCAAACTGCTGGGTGCTGCTGTCCTACATGGGGTGGCAGAGCGGAGACATAGATTCTGGCGATCAGTTATTTTTCCTCCTCATGGCTAAGGTGTGGAACTGTTGGATGAAACTGATTATCTGGACCCATTTCAGTCCGGCTTCAGACCCGGGTACGGCACTGAATCTGCCTTGGTCGCCCTGTACCATGACCTGGGCAGGGAGAGACAAGGGGAGTGCGTCCCTGTTGGTTCTCCTGGACCTTTCAGCGGCTTTCGATACCATCGACCATGGTATCCTTCTGAATAGGCTAGCGGGATTGGGAGTTGGAGGCACCGTGTGGCGGTGGTTCCACTCCTATCTCAATGGGTGATTTCAGAAGCTGGTGCTGGGGGACTATGGCTCCGCACCATGGCTGCTATGCCATGGAGTGCCGCAGGGGTCCATTTGTCCCCCTTGCTATTCAACATCTACATGAAACTGCTGGGAGAGGTCATCAGGAGGTGTGGGCTGTGGAATCATCAGTACGCTGATGATACCCAGCTCTACCTCTCGTTCTCCACCAATCCAGGTGAGGCAGTGGCTGTGCTGAACTGGTGCCTGGCCGAGGTAATGGGCTGGATGAGGGCCAATAAACTGAAGCTCAATCCAGACAAGACGGAGGTCCTGTTGGTGGGTGGCTCAGGGTTAGGGTTAGGCCTCGGGATCGGGGACTTGGGCCTTGTCCTAAATGGGGTTGCACTCTCTCTGAGGGACAGGGTTCGCAGCTTAGGAGTGCTGCTCGACCCTGAGCTGTCTCTAGAAGCTCAGGTGATGGCGGTGGCGAGGAGCGCCTTCCTTCAGCTTCGGCTGATGCATCAGCTGCGTCCCTTCCTGGAGAATGACTGCCCGGCGACAGTGACACACGCGTTGATGACTTCCCGATTAGATTTCTGTAACGCGCTCTGCATGGGGCTACCCTTGAAGACGGTCCAGATACTTCAATTGGTGCAGAATAGAGCTGCCAGGTTGCTGACGGGGACTGGGCGTTGTTCTCATATAACTCCAGTCCTCCGTCAGCTCCACTGGCTCCCGATTGAAGTCTGGACCCAATTCAAGGTGTTGGTTATGACCTATAAAGCCCTCAACGGCTTGGGCCCTGGGTATCTAAAGGAACGCTTGCGTCCATGTATGCCCTCCCGCCCCTTGAGATCAGCAACAGATGCCCTTCTCCGGGAACCCTCTGTGAATGATATTAGGAGGGTGAGTACCCGGAGAAAGTCCTTTTCTGCAGTGGCGCCCCACCTATGGAATGCGCTCCCCAAAGAGGTCCGCCTGGCGCCGTCATTTGTTTTTCGGCACCAGGCTAAGACCTTTTTATTTAAAACTTATTTTAATTGTTAAATTATTTGTATTTATAGGATTTAAAATTTTTAGCCGAGATGCACCGGAGGTTTTTAAATAATTTTTTTATTGTTATATTGTTATTTATTTATGTATTTTGTTTCTGTTGTGAGCCGCCCCAAGGCTTCATTGCGATGGGGGCGGCATAAAATGTTTTAAATAAATAAATAAATAAACTGTCAGTGAGAAGAGGAGCAGAGAGATCCTCACAGGGCAAAAGAAGCCTTGGCACCGTGATGAGTTATTTCAGGGACACAGAATGCCTTTTACAAAGCTAAGTGCCCCGTAGGCACACAGTAACTCTAGAGTGGATACTGGGAGCAGGCTCTGCGAGGCACTGTCCTCTCTCTTATGAACCTGTCCTGGCTTTGAGAGCTTTGGTAGTGGTTCTTCATCAGAGGAGTATATGATGAGGATGTGGGAGAGGGCCTTCTCGGTGGTTGCTCCCAGGCTGTGGATCTCCATGCTGAAGGACTCCAGTCTGGTCCTTTCTGTGGTGTCTTCCTTCTGGCAAGTAAAGACATTCCCATTCAGGCAGGCCTTTGGCATGTTAGTTGGGCTGTTGCTGAAGGTGTTTTTCGTTATTTGGTGCTTTTTATTACTTTTATTGTTGTGTTTTAAGTCATTTACTTTTATGGTGTATTTGACTCTGGATTTTGGTTTTAATCTCCATTTTATTGTGAGCTGCCATTGGTTTTATTTTTATCAGCAAGACATGCAGTGAAATAAACAAATAAAACAAGCTGGCTGGGGTTGAAGGGGGTTGTGGTCCAACACATTTGGAAGGCCTAATTATTGGTCCTGGCTTTTCTGTCTTGTTTTAAGTTTGGTCTGAGGGATCTTTGAACAGATTTCAGAGCCCAAGTTAGTATTTAGACTAGGAAAAGAGAATGGTTTGTACTATGTACCATTCAGGTCACCCCCACATTGATACCTCCTGTGTGTGTGTGTGTGTGTGTGTGTGTGTGTGTGGATGTGCAGATTTAGCAAAGGGCAATTGAAATGAAGAGAGGATTGGAGTATATTTTTTGTGATGGGATGCATGGAGCCCTTTTATTTTAGAAATAAGGAGACATACTAGACATGTGTAGAATTATGTGTGATGTAGGGAAAGTAGATTACTTCTTTGTTTTAAAGAAACAGCAGTTAAAGTAGATTCCCAGATGGGGACCATGAAGTTGGTGTGAGTCTGGCTCTTTTCTCTGGCACCATCTTTTCACCTTCCATTGTAGGAAGTGCAACCTTCAGGGGCAAATTTCAACTTTGGGGTAGATTTTCAGCTGGAAAACAGAAAAAGAGTCAAACACCACCACCCTTCCTGTTCCTGCACACTACATTCCCAATCTTACACACAACCCTCCCTGCCAGTACTATTTCTACAAAATAAAAACAGCCCAAGGTACAAGGTCAGCATATTGTTTGTTCTGGGCCTAGGTTGAAAGAAGTCAAAGATGGCAAGCTGTTTTTCCGACACTGTCAAAGTCTGGCTCTCTCTTGTTCTTTCTCCTGACCATTTTGTTTCTTGCAGGATCTAGAAAACGAGGACACCAACCTTATGCCCCACCTCCAGCGCTTGGAGAACACGCTCAGCCTTTTTGCTGAGGAGTCTGACAAAACCCAGCTCTTTGCCCATCTGGGGCGCATGGCTGTGGAGTTCAACCGCCTGTCCTCCAAGGTGCACAAGAACGAACAGAGAACTTCCATTCTTCAGGTCCGAGGGCTGCTGGTAGATGTGCACAGTTCATTTGTTCCTCCACTGTCCTATTCTCTCTTTCCCTCTCCCCAGATCCCACCAAGTGGCCAAAACAGGTGTGGAAGGAACACAGGTAAAGCACTGGCCGTGGAAACATTTGGCATGTGCCTCATCATGGCTTAAACTCACTGACCACTGGCTTAAACACCTTGGCCACTTTACCTGCCCACGTTGCATCTGTTTTGACCTTAGATTTCCCCACTTTTTAATTTCTCCTTGCTCTTCTCGTTCTGTGATATATTACTCTCTCCTAACCTCCTCTTTAAAAAAAGAGGGCTGCTTCAGTTTTCTCATTCTCACAGGACAGGTGGGAAGCCATGGCTGAGATAGCAGTTTATACTTTTCTCTGAGGGTCAGATGAAGTCCAGCCATTATTCATGTTGTTTGGTCTTGCACTGCTGCAGTTCAGCTGGTTGGTTTTAATGAAGAGCCAGCCCCACAGGGTGTGTTTCGGGGTGGGGGCACCCAGTAGGAATAGGCCTGTGGCACAGAAAGGTTTACAGCCACCCACCCACTCACCACCCCATGGCCCTGACCCAGTGCTCTCCTTCCTTGTGATTTGTTGTTCTTTTAAAATTTCAACTATGCAGCATCAAGTAACTTGAGTAATGTCGTGTCCAGGTTGGTCCTGTTAGCTGTTGGTTTCAGAATGACTGTTCTTTTCTTTCCAGCCTCTCTGTGAGCACTGGTGTGATGTAATGTCAGGCTAGGCCTGGGGAGAGCCAGGTTAAAATTCCCACTCTGCTAGAAGCTCGGTGGGTGAGTCTGGGCCAATCACAGTCTTTCAGCCCAAGCTGCCTCCCAGGATGGTTGCAAGGATAAAAGGATGGGTGGGGAGACTGTACAGTCTCATTTGAGCTCCTTGGAGGACATGTGGGACACAAATAGAATATAGGAGAGGAAACATCCAGTTCTGACGTGATTGGCAAAACCCAGCAAAAAGAAATAGTGGGGCTCAGGATTTGGAAATTCAGACTGAAACAGGTGTACAGATAGCAAGTGACCTATTTCTGGAAGCTTCTTGGGAAATGTATAACCAGTCAAATGGCTCTTGGGAAACCTTTAGCCCTGCTGATGCTTTTTGTTTTTTTTTCAAAAACAGGCATTATGTGAGCAGTTGCGGAATGAGAATGAAGAGCTCAGGGTGAAGCTAGAGAAGGAACTAGAGCAAAGGAACCAGGTGTCAGAGAAGCTGAGGTGAGTGCAAGTCAGGTGGGGAAAGAGAGCTCAGGTAAGCGTGCCGCACAGTGGGCCAAGCAGCAATTCCAGGGTTTGCCATTTGTGTCCATTGGGTGACTGCCACTGAGCTTAACCATTGGACAAGGTCCCCCTGCCCCAAGTGGCTTGGACGCAAGACCCATGCAGCTTCACAGCCACCCAAAGTGCTGTCTGGCGTTAAAGGAGCCTGGAAAAATCACCTATTCCAACAGGGCCAGGGCAGTGCTGTTGAGGAAGAGAATCATGATCCACCCGATAGTGAGGAACAGGAGTGGCCATGGTGGTGGGAATCCCTAGGTAGCAGTGAAGGGTGAATCCTAATGCTTCCACTATTCCATTTTGTTTAAGGGAAACCATGCCACCAATAGCTTTTTGAAGACTATGGCAGGGGCCTCTAAACTGGGGTGGATGGAGGCTAGATCTCCGGATGGTTTGGACATTAGTACTCCATAGCCCCTGTCAGCATCGCCAATGGTCAGGAATGCTGGGAGTTGAAGTCCAAAAGACTTGAAGACCTACCTTCTTCCCACCCATATTCTAGAGTATTTGTTTCTCCCAAACTACCTAAGCCTCAAAAAAGAGATCCACACTTCAATGGTAGCCCACCCTGGTATAGCAGGCACCCCCATTGCTCAGTGGGAAAGCCTGTGACAAGCCTCAACCTTACCCTAGCCCAGATTCACAGCATTTTGGGAAGAAGTAAGAATCATAACAAGCATCACCCTAAAATGCTTTTTCAAGAGGGGTAAGAGTTGATTTTTCTCTTTCATTTCTGGATTTGAGGCATATGGCCGGATATTCTACCTCTCCCTTTTCAAAGGGCATTTCATTTAATTAAATGTAGCATATGAGATTGCTGTATAATTTACCTCTTGGCATCTCAGCCTATTAAAGATTTTCACTAGAGATCTAGTGGCAAACTTTTCTTCATCGTTGTGAAGGTAATATTGAAATGCCAGAGATGCAAGCTCTTTGCAGATCACCATGATGCCGTTTGACCTTTCAAGATGTAACCAATTTTCTAGTGTAGTAATCTGAGTCTTGATGGGCTGAGCTGGGAAAGGCCAGGTTTCTCTAAATAGTTTTACTTTCGGTTTCCTTATTCCAGACAAAACTTTGCTCTTTTGTGCTCATACTCATCTGACCAAGGTTCATACTAAGAAGTGCATTTTAAAAAGTGGTAACTTAGTCTAATTCTCCATAACATGCTGCCCTCTAGAGGCACTGTCTTGATTGTGAGTTGCATGTGCTGTGATCTATATCTACTGTGGTTAAGGATTGCAAAGTTAACTCTCAGGAAAGACACATGCTACATATTTTGTACTTGGCAAGACTGTGCAAGTTTTAGATGTGGAACATCTGGCCTTAGGACTTAATCTGGCCCATGGAGGTTCTGTACCCAACTCACAGAAATTCATTGGGTTCTTCCAGGGGATGAGGCTTGGCCTCCAAGTCAACCCCCTGGAAGAATTCCCACTGTTACCTCTGATCTGACCCTGGAGACAGCTGAGAATTTCTCTGGTGCCCTGCTTCTCCTCCCCATAAGAGATAGGACAGAACTCTAACTAAGTTTAGAAATATAATAGCTGTGTTGGACAAAAAGGAACAAAGTAAATCCAAAACAGTTTGTCATTTTCGAGCAAGATTCACAGGGACAAGTAAGTACCTTTTGTTAGGACAAGCCAAAGTTCTGTGTAACTCAAAAACTTGTGACATGAAAATTTTTGAGTAACACAGAACCTTTTCTCAGACTGAATATTTGCAATACAAACTTAAAAGTGGGAAAGCATTTTCAGAAAGAAGGTGAAGGTTGTTTCATTCTTAAGGCAGTAGTGGAGAAAGCTCTTGCAGACTAATTAGGTCAAAAATGTCCCTGGTATAGAAGATTTCAAGTTCCATGGAGGCAACCCAGGGCATATTTAAATGGAGGATTTCCCCTTGGATATACAAAACTCAGCTCAGTTGTGAGTCTGTCTCCAGCACTACCTGAAGCTCACATTTTCCTTGTACATGTGAAGAACTTAAAGGAATTCTTTTCTTCAGTTATCTGAGAGGAACAAGCAAGAAGAAATCCCCTGCCACATGCACACACTTGCATCTGCACAATCTAGATAGCATCTCAGGAGCAAAAATTAGGAAGGAGTTGAACATCCTTGCATTCCAACTTTATATAAGAAAGGGATTGTTGCTATCTTTTTAATTTTCTTGTCTATCTCTGAAAAAGGGACAAGGTGTGTGGGCTGTATGCTTGACATTTCAAGGTGTGTAAGGTGTACGCCTGACTTGATCACTCTGTGTATTAATGTAGAAGGGGACTGAGTGGCCTGCATAAGAATCTTTTCTCCACAGCTTTGCTGTTTCATGGTAATTAAATCTCTCACTACTGCTGCCACTGCAAGACCCTTTACTGGTCCTTATTCCTTAGCTGCTAGGGAGATCTTCTCTCTCTAGACTCCACCCATGCCCAAGGTTCCATTAAAAATTAACTTCTATATTGGCATTCTTCCCACTATTGGACTTTTGTACTTAGGCTTTTGTATAGTCCCTGCCATGACAATCCAAGATGGAAATAAAACTAATAAATAGAATGCAGCTGCCTTTGGAAGAGGTTGCTGCAGCAGGAAGGTGAAAGTTTTTTTGGGTGGGGAGTCCAAGAGCGTAGGATGAGCCATACTAGATCAGACTGAAGGCCTATCTAGTCCAGCATTCTGTTTCCCATAGTGGCCAATCAGATGCATCTTGGGGAGTAAGGCATGCATGTAACAGCGCTGTTCCCCACTGCTCATCCATGTTCCCTGGAGAATGGTATTAACAAGTGATCTGCCTGTGATCCTGGAGGTGGCATACAGCCGTTGCAACTAGTAGCTACTGATAGTCGAATCAGATTCATGGCAGATACTTTCATGGAGAATTACCTTCAAAGTCTAGGGGCTTTGCAGTACATATGTTGGCTGTCACATGCCCTGTTCCCAACCATGCTGGAAATCCAGAAGGCTGCTTCCCTTTCCCTAGTATTCAGCTTGAAATAGTTCTATCTCCCAATGTAGGTGTGAGAATATGGAGCTCAGGAAGATGGTAATGAATGGCAACAAAGAAGACAGGAAAGCGGAAGTCACAGAATGTGCTGCGGAGCAACAGGTAGGAGGCTTTTTCACTCTGTTTATCTGTCCATCTTGGTCTATTCTTCTATGGCGGATTTGGCGGAATGGACATTCCAACTAGTCATGTATGAGGCATTTGGTCTGGCGGTGGCAGTCCATCAGATTTCAACCTGTCTTGTACCAGGAGGTTCGTGTGGGTGTCTGGCAGGAAGCGAGTCCAAGCAAGGCTGGCTTGTGCACGCGCCATCCAAACACCTGCTGTGCAGTGGAGTGCTGCTTCTACAGAAGGTTCTCAAAGGCTTTGCCTGCTTTGCACAAAGGACTCTATATTTTGTGTACTTTGTGCAAAGAACTGCACACTTTGCATAAAGAATCGCATTCTTTGCCTACTTTGCACAAAGAATTACATACTTTGCCTAATTTGTGCAATGATACCACTAGTGTTCCTGAGCATTCATGGTCTGGATCTCAGCTCAGTTTGCTTCCTGATCAGGTCTGGGCATGGGAAAGACCTCTAATGATGTCTTCAAAGGGCTGGATTCCAGCCTTACCTTCACATCCTCATTGCAAAAGCAGAGTGCAGCAACAGAAGTACACTGGCTGCCCATTCATTCCCTGCTCTGGTCACTAGGAGGTTTCAAACCACCCCAGAGCATGACAGTGATGTGTCCTGGTTATTTAACAAAAATAACGATCGTCCACTTTTTTGCCGCTGTTCCTAAATATATTTGATGCTAGCAGTTGTGGGAGAGAGTGGGCTGTGACCTACTGTGTAATGCAGCCAACTCTAACACATTGACCTCCAGGTGTGTTGGACTACATATCCCATTACGCCTAGCCTACATAGTCAATGGAAATGACTGGAGTTGCAGTCCAGCACATCTGGAGGGCACCTGGAGGCTGATGTAGTGCTTTGGTTGCCAGGCTGGGATAGAAAGGCTTGGATGAAGGTTTGGATGAGCATTGTGGCTGCTTGTCATGACCTTCGTTTGTCTTGCCTTTTAGAAGGGAGCCATGGAGGAGAAAACAACAGGGAAAAGCATGCTGGGGACAAGTGAGAAGAGAGTGAAAATACTCGAGCACCAGCGCAATGAGGTAGGCCCAGACATTTACCCCAAGCAACAAACACTAAAGAGGATTTCTTGGAGATGGGGTCCATTAAGGGATATCCATACTTAACCACGGAGATTCTGGAGGATGCTAATAAAAAAGATATAAAATCATAATAAATCCTCAACACAAGAAAGCACAAATCATAATTCAAAACAGTGGCAAGTTGCCGCAGCAGAGTGTGTTACAAGCCAAAGTGGAAAGCACTCTTGTTGGGCCCCCATTCATCAGGTGAGCAAAGTAGGAAGCAGGAAAACCCTCAGGGAGGGGGATTCTGCAGTCAAAGAGGCCCGGTTCCTTGTCATACCGCCTCACTTCAGAAGATAGGGTAGTCTGTGCATTGTCTCTGAAGAACGTAATGATCAGGCAGATTCCTGTGAGAGTAGGCCATGCTCTGGGTACCTCCAGGAGCACATACAGCCTGCTTTTCTTGGAAAACCCCAGCTTTGATGCCTGTTATCCATGCATGTAAATTGGGTGAACTGGTCCACACTGGTGTTGTTGCATAATCTGAACTGCTTGAATGGGATTGTTGTACAGCAATCTGTATTGAGAATGGAAGTTTCTCCCTCTCCTTGCCCATCTGGACTGGAACTGTTGACTTGCAGGGTCTCAACCTTTTCACATCACCCTCTACTTGATTGTGGAGATGCCCATGATTGAACCTAAGGTCTTGTTTATGCTGATCGGGGATGATGGTGACTGTAGTCTAGCACATTGTGGTAGGGACACCAAGTTGGGGAAGGTGTCTTGAGACAGATTGGCTATGGCTACTGTCAAGTTTAGCAGTAAATCTGTGTGTGAAGCCTGAATGGAACTATCCAGAGTCCACGCTGCTTGTCAGACAAGAAGTCATTTAAGCAATTCAGTTACTTGTTTTGTATAATTAAAATAGGCCACTGTGGTGTAAATAAGTCATTGTGGCTTGTTTAAATCCCTGGCCCATGATGGGTGCCATTTCCCTAATCAATCTAGGTGCAACTTGTGTCATCTGAACCCAGTCAGCATGGCCTTTTGTAGGGTTATTGGAAGGTATTTCCCTCTCTTATAATCCATGCGCCTGGGTTGAGATGAAGTGGAAACTGTGACGAGGCAGGTGATTAGGGAAATGGTGCCTGGCATGTGCTGGGGATTAAAATGGTGGCTTGACCCACCATTTGCCCAGTGGCTGCATCAGCAGGGAACTGAGGATCCCTATCTCAAGGTAACTCTGAACGTTTCTTTCTAGTTGCTGGAGGTGAATAAGCAGTGGGACCATCATTTCCGGTCCATGAAGCAACAGTATGAGCAGAAGGTAACAGCAGAAAGCCAGTGTCTTGCATGATGTCCATTTTATAAACAGCATTTATTCAACAGAGCAGAGGATGAGGAGAATTTTGTTTTGCTATCATCTCAGAAGGGAAAGCATGTTGAATAGGCGTCTCATCAGGGAAAAAGTCAGGGTTTTGATCACGCTCTCTGTATTCAGCTTCAATCTTTTTGGCTGGATTCACCCAGCATGCCAAGCCAGAGTACAGGCTGAGTGTCAGTTGTCTTTGGACTGTGGCTTGCTGTATAAATCAAGCTGAGGCAACAGAACATGCTTTGTTAATCTTGAACAACCCATGAAGAGAATCCCTGGTTTGCCGTTCAGTTGTGAACTATTGTTTTTCAGTGGTTCACAAACCATGATTTTGTTAGCTGGCTTGGTTCACACAACAGAACAGCCAGGTTCATATGATCACAGGGTAGTCAATAAACTACTGTGGCTTGATAACACCCTGCTCATGCTGGCCAGATTTTCCTAATTACCTTCAGCAGTGTGGCTTTTCATTTCAGCTGAACCCAGTGAGGGTGGCTTGTTGCGTCAGACAACAAATCGCCCAGAACCTATTGCTTCTTTTTTGCACCTTTTTTTGAACCTATTGCAAATCCAGCCAGCATCCAACTGACACAATTGAACAACAATCCCCAATTTTTTGAACCTATTGCAATTTTTTTGAACCTATTGCAATTTTTTTGAACCTATTGCAAATCCAGCCAGCATCCAACTGACACAATTGAACAACAATCCCCAATTCTGTGAGGACCCACCCTCAACCTGTATTCAGCCTATCACAATGTTAGCCTCCCTCTATTACTAACCTGCAGGATATCTTGACATTGCTGTAGTTCTTAGAATAAATGTTTTACATATATTTTAGTCATACACAGACAATTACAATGTGAAAATCAGTAATATATATAATTTTAAGAACTCGAAAATGTATCTGAAGTCTTCACCAATACAAACTTGGCCATATGCTAAGACCTGCCTTGGAAGTTATCCTGAAATGCCGATTAGTAAAATCAATGAGGTTGGTGTGTATTAGAGACCCAGCCTCCTTGGCCGTGGCTCTGAGTCTTAGAACTCCCTTTCGAGAACCTTAAATCTTGTCCCTGCTGCTGCTGTGAGCCTTGAAGACCTTGCTCTTCAAGGTTGCTTTTGACTGATGCTGTAGCTTCTGTTGACATAGAGTAATTCTGCGTTCTGTTCTGATGTGATCGCCTTTAAATTGTATGTTGGCTCTTACTGTGTTTCGAACATCAGTTTGGAGGGCATAGTCCTAAAAGGTGGCCAGAAAATACTTTAATCTATTGATTGATTGATCTCTCTTTTTCTCCCTACTGGCAGATAACAGATCTACGGCAAAAGCTTGCTGACTCCCAGAAGACTTTGGGGGAATTGGAAGCTGAACGAGAACAGAAGCAGAGGGATTTTGACCGCAAACTACTTCTAGCAAAATCCAAGATTGAAGAAGAGGAGGTGAGTTTCACTACAGTAACATCCCAGGACCAGCGGCACTTACGTCTGAGTTTGACTTGATTTTATGCATCTCTCTCTTTCAGGCAGAAAAGGAGAAATTGAGTGGGGAGGTGAAGGACCTCAAACAGAGGATGAAGACCCTTCAGGATCAATTGACTCCAGTCACCAGGCAAAGAGAGTACCAGGAGAAGGAGATTCTTCGACTAAATAAGGTAGGTAGTCATTTGAAGAACTTGTACCTGTACCCTTTCTGTTCCTCTGTAGCAACGTCCATTTCGCTCCCTTTCCTCCCCTGCCATAGTCAGTTATGGACTTCCTCGCACAGTGTGGTAGTCTGTATCTTTTACTCCTGTTGTTCTCAGCTGCAAATGTTTTACTTACTGACTCTAAATTCCCATGCAATACAAAGTGTTCTAATCATCCCCACTGCTCCCATCTCTCCTCAGGCCTTAGAAGATGCCCTGAATGTTCAAGCCTCTGCTCCTTCCCCATCTGCCTTCAGCAACCCCAGCATGAACATCCGGCATCATGAGGTGGCAACCCAGAATGAGCTCCTGAAGCAGCAGGTATGGCATGCTTCTGCTAAATCAGAGAAGGACACCTCCTCCAGAGGTCCCCTTGTCATTGGCTGTGCTGCCGAGGGCTGATGGGCATAGCAGGCCAAAATTCTGGAGGGCCACAAGTTGCCAAGATCAAGCTCAGTTTGAGTCTTCCTGTAGACCAAAAGTTTTTGTTCAGAAAATAGCAATTCCTTCTTGCATTTCTGTACTGTTCATGGGAAGCAGTTTCCTTTTCAGCATTTTCATTTCCCACCAGGGTGCAAGACAATGGGCAGTTCTCACAACGTGCCAGTCCTCCTAGGACTTTCACCCATGTACTGTGTGTAAAATTCCCTTGTGTTGAATGGACAACACGGGGTTTAGGTCCTTCAGCCTCCCATCTCTTGTCTACTTAGTCCTCCTACCAGTATTCCATGGAACACCATGGAAACACTGAGCGGTGCAGGGATGTCAGCTGCCAAATGTGGCAGGGGGAGGTTTCTCGGTCCCAGTCTCTTAAGTGAAGTTTGTTGAACTGTCCTCTGGACTGTGAAGCTTTTTCAAAGCTTGTGGTATGAACATGCTCAAACTAAAGGAGTCACACTTTCTTTCTGAGCCACAGCAACCTTGATTAATGAAGATGTAGCAGCTCACTGATTATAGGAAAAATCTTAGCTCTGGTTTTCCTGTTTTTCATTAGTTTTGATGGTTTTACTAGATCTAATTAGTTATTAATTTCAGCACGATGTTGGTTCTGGATTTGGTCATGCTTAAGACAGAGCCATTGAAATCAATGTGACTTTAATTATGGCTGAGTTTGGCCCACTGGTTTAAGTGGAACTATGCTGAGCTTGACTAAGTCTGGATCCACTGATGGTAATCTAATGTGAAAGTATTTTATACTGTCCACTGTATTAGGGTTTGTTGAAGGGTATCTTGAGAGGATTTACTGGCTCATAAAGGGAGCCAGCTAATGTTTTAAATAAATACTGTTTTAATTATTTGCTGCTTGTCAGTACTTTTACATTAGGAGAATAGCCTTAAGCAGAGTCTTGACTAATAATAACAGGAGCATGAAAGATCAGCCCTCTGCTTATGCAGAAATATACTTCATCAGAGAATCTTATCTGACCTGTCAAAACTATGGTGGGGATGCTGAAGCGGGGCTTGCGCAAGGGCATGTTATGTGCTAGTGGGCAGCACCTCTTTCTGACTTCGGTGTGAGGTGTGGCCACATGGCAGACTTGGCCTGCCTCTGTGATCCTGCAACTGTAGTGCCGTTTGTTTGCTGCCAGGTGAAGATCTTCGAAGAGGACTTCCAGCGGGAGCGGAGTGACAGGGAAAGGATGAACGAGGAGAAGGAAGAGCTGAAGCAGCAGCTGGAGAAGGTCCAGAAGCAGTTAATGCTTACCAACAATCAGGTAGGAACCCGGAAGAGGCATCCTGTTGTCCAAGGAGATTGAGCATTGTACATTGTGAGGGAAAAGGTGCATCAGGCCATTTGCTGCGGTCCTTCCCAGTATGCGCTGTTGACTAATCTGGTCCAACCATCCTCCAATTCTGCCAGTAGGATGTGTTTTCAAGACATGATATTCCAAACTATTTCTTTTCTCTCCACTATATCCCCAATTTCTCGGTCTCTTTTAAGCATTCCTACTGTCTGTTTTTCTTCTCCCTCCTTCCTTTAGCCTATTTCCCATTCCCTTCTTTTAGGCCACAGTTTGACTGAAAGTAGGTCTCCAGGTGTTTTGGATTTCAACTTGCAGCATTCCTGACTATTGGCAATGCTGACAAGAGCTTCTGGAAGTCCAAGCCATCTAGATATCTCTGCCCACCCCTGTTCTTTGCCTAACCATATTCTTTGAGGGATCTTGCACTTCTTAGTGTGCTGACCTGGCCCTTTTCCTAAAGTGTCGCTAAGAGAAGAAAAAAGTAGGGGGACATGCTGTCACCTTTCAACCACCACTCTCTCCCAATATGGGCACGCTCCTTCTCTTTCTTTGCCTCTTGCTCTTCTCCAAGCAGATGCTTCTCTGCCCTCTAGCACTTGGTTGATCAGCTGGACAGGGCTCTCCAGGAGGCACAGGGAACGGTTAAGGGCCACATGCGGGCTGTGAGTCACTCCCCTCTGCCCCCAGCTTTATCCTGATGAAATTTAAAGCATGCGATATGAGGGGTGGTTGGGCAACTCTCAGGAAAAGAGATTCTAATTCAGGCATTCTTTTTGGGAGGCAAAGGAAAGACAATCAGTAAGTAGACATAAAGTGTGCTGAGGTACTTGAATGGTGAAGCTGTGGAAACCACAAGAGTATCGAGCTACAAGAGCCAGAAGTTAATCCTCTCGGCCTCTGAGATCTGTCTTGCCTTTGTCCCCTGTGGAAGTATCCCTGCACTGCCTTTTCTTGGGTCTGCCAAAAGGCATAGAACAAAGGAGTTCTGTACTGTGCGGCTTTGGGGCTAAACTGCTCCAACTTTTAAATTGGGTCTATTTTAACTTGACTGCCCTCCTTATCAGCCTGCAGGAGACATGGGTGCCTAAGCTCCATTTTGACCTATTGCCTCCTCTTTTCCCATGTCTCCATGTCAGCTGCGGGTCTTTAAAGAGGACTACTATAAAGAGAAGGAGGAGAAGGAGAAGTTCAAGAAACTGCTCAAGCAGCACAAACAGGTACTGATGCATGTGGTGCCAGGACAAAGGGCATGCTGTTTTCAACAAGCTAAGAGATAGGTCAGGCCAGTATGGTCTGAAAGTACTGAACTAATGCCATGGCCAGTTGGACTTGGCGCTAGAAGGGGAGACGTGTTGAGAGACCAGCGTCAACATGCAAATCAGAATCTAAAGGCTAGGATTACTGCTGATAACTTCCACATCATGGACAGGAGGGACAAATCCATCTTCTTCCAGCCCTGATCCCTTTTCATGAGCTTACCCAATAAGTCCATCCTGTCCTATTTCCACACTACTTTGCCTTGTATTTGTTTAATGTGTATGAAAATTAGCATTTAAGTACATACTTAAATATTTGCTCTCAATAGGCTTCCTTCTAAGTGTATTTGGATTCAGTTTCTGAACTAGGATTTTTGGGAAGTGCAAAAACCAATGGCTAAGTGAGCTGAGATCTGCCCATTAGTTGAAGAGGTATAAATCAGTCCCTTTGTGTCCAGGTCCTTAAGCATAACTACTTCATACTGCTTAATTCCTCCCTGCCAAACTGATGCAGAACTACATGGAGAAAGGCCAGGGTGGCTCTCTCCAACTTGGTGCCTGCTAGCTGATTTTGATTCCAGCCCCGGCCAGCATGTCCACAGTGGTTGGGGATGGAGAGCATTATAGTCCCAAACACCTGGAAAGATCCAGGTTGGGGCTGTCCAATCTACAACTTCCCACCAGTCCCCAAACATCCATTTAGATATTTTTTGTGACTGAGACTGTCACTATATGCTGTTCCAGAGCAGTTCTGAATCTGTCTCTCTTGCCTCAGCAGTGGGAAGTCCCTCCTTTCCCTTAATCTTCTTCTCTTGCCTCTTTCTCCTGGCAACAGTGAGCTCAAAATACTGTGGAAGTAGGCATGATGTCCCTTCAGTCAGCCTTCGGAGAGATTAAAAGTGCAGGTCAGCCAGACCACAATGATTTAACACCAGGTGCCCAGATAATCCAGTGGTAAATCATTAGCCTTTTATGTGCCCGGGTTTATATGCGCTTGCATAATGTGTATCTTACTTGCAGCATTCTGGTGACAGACTGCATCCGGATCCTCAGCCAGGACCAGTGGCCCCAGTTTGCCCCATGTACCAGTTCCAGTGTTCTCCTCCAGCCCAGCCACACATGTATCATGGTTATGAGGACTGGCAGCAGATCCGATACCCACCATCAGCTATGGCAAATGAGCGTCCTTTGGTTCAGAATTACCACCGTTTCCCTCCTGTAAGTTGACTAAATTCTAGAGCGCATAGTGGGCAGTGCCCTTGCACCTGCATGATCCACTGCTGGCACAATGGGAAACAATGCTGGAAAGGAGCCCAAATGCTCGTTTCCAGAGCAGAGCAGGTCAACGGAGCTTGCAGAAGGCTTCCCTTTGTGCCAGCCATGGGCACGATCAGTGAAAACACAAGCGCTTTGATGGAAGTTGCTCTGCAACTCTGTATCTTGATTGTATTTGTGTTTTGTTCCTTCTGCAGCCAGAATATACCTGGTATCCACATTGTGTTGTATCACCAAATCCAAACTCACAAGCAATGGAAGGTGCAAAACAGCTTCCCAAGGAGCCCGGTAAGGGAAAGCTTCAGAAGTTTCTAAGGACCACTATGTAGGTTTCTTTCCTTTGCTTTTGCCCTTGAAGGGTCCCCTTACATGCATTAGTGTAGCGTATAAGCAGGCCATTCTGGACAATGGCATACGGACTAGTTCTCCTGGTGGGTTATTTCCACTTCACCGAGAGTGCTCATCCTGCTATCACCAGATACTAGCCATTTGTGCTAATATTTCACAGCCACCATGTTCCAGCTTATCCTTTCAGCCTGCTCTGTGTCTTGTGGCAAATGCTACCATGCCAGAGCTAATTGAAACATTTCTTGTACTTGAGAAAACTGGCCTGGAAGAAAGGGAGCATCAACCCCTGTGTCGTGCCAGCACGGTCATTCAAAGATCTGATGTGCAGGCTTTGCAGAAATTTAGCTGATTTCCAGGTTCACCTGACACTTGAACCTCATTGTTCAAAGGAGACAAAGATTTTCTTTGCTTCTACTCCCTACCAAGCTGGTACTTTTGCTCTGTGCCAAAAAGATTCAAGCTGTGAAAAATGAGAACAGTGTCATTTGTCCATCTTCAAACTAGTTGGAGATCAAGTCAAGATGCTGCTTGTGCAGGTCAAAGTGGTGCAGAGCAGCTAGTATAGCTAGAAAGAAAGCACCCTCAAGCACTGTGCAATCCTTGGCTATTATCGAAACAGCCACCCACTTGAACGCCTCTCCTTGACTTCACCTTGGCCTAGCCTAAACTACCTTTGTCCAGAGTCAGGAGCATCCTGGGTTTATCTCAGTTAAAATTGTCACTGTGTGCCTCTTTCTGCTATTCTGTAACTGGACCAGAGTTTGGTTTAAGAAAAAATCTCTATCAGTACCAAACATTGTAACATTGGATTTTGCTTCCAGAATCAGTGCCTGACAGACTGTCCCATTTAGTGATCATTTTGTGTGTCTTTGGGCTGTGGAATTCGGAATAATTGAGATGGTTTAGGATTGGTGTGGCAGATTAATTTCACTTCTATATGAGCCGAAAGCATGCAGTATCTGGCTAAGCATATCAGACCCTTTATAAGACCAGAACTTGAGTACAATGCTAGTAATCTCTCTCTCTTTCCCTTTTCAGACCCAGCAGCTCTTGGGTTGCCTAAAAACCAAAGGCCAGCTTAGCTCTGTGTTGATGTGTGTGCACGGAAACCTCAGAAATAGTATTGCAATTTGCGTGGGATCCTGCACGAGCAGATAACCTCCTTGTGCTTCTGGACACTGTTCACATTCATTTGTGTATATAGGATATGCACAATTGGACACTTCAGGTAACAGCAGCTTTAGTGGGATTTTCTGAACACATATGGCACATGCTGCCAAGGACGGACAGTGACCCAGTGCTTCGGGGAGATCCCGGTGTAAGAAATCAACCTGGGTGTCCCACTTTCCCACAGCATTTTGGATCAATTGCTTTTTCTCTCCAATTGCCATCAAGGATTCTGCTGTGAGGAGGCAGCTGTCAGATTCCAGTAGCCAACACTGCAAGTCCAGCATCAGCAGAACCAGCATTTCCAGTTCCTGTGCAGCATGACTGCTTTTATGATATGGCACTTTTGCATTTGTTGGCAGCAGAAATATTCTGTGCACCGAGTGTCTTTTGCAGGGCAATGGTTGTTTTATTGTGGCCAGTGCCCAGAAAGGTTAAGGACTTTGCATTGTTGCAAAGAAAGATTGAAAGAAAAGGAATTAAATCCTTTTGATTTTGTTTTTTGCTTCTGGTTGTCTATAGTGTATAGGAATAAAATTGAAAGTAACTTTTTTCATTTTGAATATGTTCATGTCTGTCATAGAACTCACAGTTCTAGTCCAGTGGTTTTGACTGAGCACATGTTAACTTGATTCTCCAATGCATTGTATTGCTGTTCAACATGGTTTAAAATGAATATTGGTTTATGTAATGCACCAAGGTCTCTGCTTATACATCTGTCTTAAACATCCTAGAGCATGGTGATCACTCTTCTGTTTCCTTTAGCCAGAACTTCATTGCAGCATCTCACTTGATCCCGCAGCACGCAGAAAGAATGAAATTTCACCTTACCTAAATGTTGGGTGACAATAACTTCTCTCAGTCATCAAGCTGGCCCCTCTTGGACACAGCTTGCCGGACTAGATAGATCTATTGCTTGATCTAGTTGGGCACTTTTTAAATATTCTTCTAGTGGGGTGAGAGTGTGAAGGAGAATTGTTGATCTTTGGGTCCTGATCCAATGAAATACGGTGGATTTGTCATAATGAAGAGCTGCACTGATGATGGAGGTGGTGGGCTGGCTGGGAAAGTACAAAGTCAAGACCTCTGTGGAGCTATCAAGGGTAAAATCAAAGCATAAAAACTCTTCTGTAGATGGTGTTGCTGATGTTACTGAAACAAACCTCATAGGTCATGAGGACTAGCGTCTTCCTTACCATCACTAGTTATATGAATCAGGATCAATAGCTTTGTTGTTACCACAGCTTAAATAGGCTGCGATTAACACTGTTGATCTCAAGAGGATCGATAGGAATGAAATAGTGAATGTGATTGTGGCATTCTGATTCACTGGTTTCATATGTAGCTCCCTCTTCAACCACCTCATCCTGCAGACTTGTCACTCCTAGCAAAATAATAGCAGACTTAGGAAAGCTGAGAGGCTTCATTTAAAATGGGAAGTACCTCACAATGTGCATAGACGAAAGAAGAAATGTTAGGCGTATGATGGGCTTTACAGGGACAACTTGGATAGACGATGAATAAGAAAGCTCGAAGCAAGTGAATAGATGGGAATCACATGGCTAATTATCTCCCCTAAGAAGAAAGATTATATTAGTTGGGGCTTTAAAAAAAGTGGGGAAGGGGAGGTATCATAAATAATGCATGGCATGGGGAAAGTGGACAAGGTAGAGGTTAATTTCAGCCTCTATAGTAAAAAGAACATGGGATCGGCCAAGAACCTGATGCATGGAAGATTCAGGACATGTAAACGGAAGAACATTGTCAGACTGTGCCAGAAAAAACTGTGGAATTTGTCACAAGATGTAGCTACAGCCAAGTGGAATGGGACAAATGTATGGAGGAGAAAGCTATGAGTGGCTGCTTATCCTGATGGCTGTATGTTACCTCGAAGAACCAGTTGCTGGAAATATGGATTGGCAGGTGCTTCCATGCTCCTATCCTGTGAGCTTCCCTTAGAAAGCTGGTTGGCCATGATACGAACAGCATGGTTGACTTAGATGGGCTTCCGCACTGGTCCAGCAAGGGCCCTTTTACATTCTTAGCATAAGAGGAGTCGTGCTGGGGGAAAAAGCCACTTGGATAGAGATGGGGGATGGGCTTTAAGCAGCCTGCGACCAGCAGACATCTTGGTGAATAAGGCTCACCAAGGATCATTGTCCCTAGGGTACCATGATGCCCTTTATGTTCACATTTCTGTAACACATATGGATTCACTTGTTTCAAACGCAGAGTACTCCAAGCTTTCAAGTGCTTTTCTGGCCATCCTAATTATTGCAAACAATACACTAGAAGTAGCATCAACTGCTTTTTACATGCTGCTCTAAATATTGGAATGTTCAAATATTAATGTCGAGGCCCATTTGAAACTAGAATTGATGCTAACAGATAAGCAGCCATCAAGCCCTTTGGGCCATAATTCTAGAATGGTTCCCTTCCCCCACACTCCTTGCCTTCGAGCAAAGAAAAATCCATTTCTAAAATATTTACACTGCAAGGACAAAGGCATACCACCCAGAAAGTGTGGTATGCGAGTACTTCTCTCTACAACTCCACCTATTCATTGAGTTTAACTTCAGTCATAGGAAAATATGTGTAAATCATAGAAAATAATTATACCCTAGAGAGCGGTAAAGAAAAGAGAATACAATCTACTTTTTTCCTGTGTCTACATCTTCCAAACATTTACAGAGGCTCTTTGCACACCTTGCCACTGTGTTTAGACATGCTAATATTTTTGCTAGCTAGACTTCCTGTTTTGTAAATGTTTAGGACATTTTGTTTGTACAAAGTGCTCTTAATTATAAATATTCAGTTTATTTTATCTTTAATAAAGTACAGGTTTTCCTTTGCCATATTGTTCCTAGAGTGTCATACCAACTTTGTGTTCTCTTAATAAGTGTGCCTTTGTGGTGCCTTGCACATTAGTGCAATCATTCAGTTTGCCATAAAAGGAAAAAGTGGTAAATTGCAAGGCACAGTGAGACTTCAATCCTAAGAAATAACCCCCCGCAGTATGAAAAGGAAAGAAGATCCAAGCAGTATGTACAAACTTCTCTTTGAATCTGGATTTACATGTGAAATCGAGGCGGGGGAGTCGGGGACAACACAACATCCACATATTCTGAACTAGGGAATGTGGATACAGAATGTATTTAAAGTGTCCAAACTGAAGTTTTCAATGGATCTCCTTTAAATTGGACAGTTTTTTAGCCTATCATGGAGCCAACCTTTTTCATTCAACATAACACAGAGGGAGCTATATATGCCCAGAAGTCTCCTATTCAACTCTCAGCCAAGAAACAATCTGGCTAGATGGCCTTGGGAAAGTGATTCCCTCTGTCATTCTCAGCTTTTGAATATGGAAATAGTAATCTGTTCTGGGTTGGTGGAAGGATCACTGTGTGAATGGCTTTTGATCCCTGTGAAATGCTTTAGATAAATGTGAAATGTAAGTATGAGTGGTGCAGAGGAGCCCAGAACCTGCACACATTGCAAGATGGTAAACCAGCTCGCAGCATCCAGATGAGCAAGTGAAAATACGTCTGGCCTCACTGCCAGCTCCGCATCTCGCATCAAAGGTCGGTTGCCCACAAGTAAGTTGCACTGAGTGTTTGGATTTTTTATTAGGCAATTTTCATACACAGGGTGAATGTGGGGGGGGGGAAAGAGATGAAGCTCTTGGGAGCAATGAGGAATGCATCCCTGCAAAGGCAAGCTGTGGAGCAGTTTGAATGCACTGAAGAGCTGCTCCACTGCCTTGCAGGCTTGGGCCAGGTCTGCTCTTGGGGAGCTTTCAGACCTAACCGTCATACTGATGCATCTTCCTTGTCCCCAGAACCCTTTCTCGTCATTCTCGCCCTCCCGGAAGAGAAAAAAGTATGAAAAACTCCAGTCTGAAAACTCTCTACTTGGCACAGTCCATTCAAGGGAGGGAGGCCATGCCTTATCCAGAGATACACAAAATGCTGGCTCCATCCAGCAGAAGATTGTAAATGAAGATTGGAACAGCAACTGACACTGATTCTGTTTTGCCCGTGTCAACTTGTGCCACAACAAATTTGTAGTCTTCACAGTGCCACAAGGCTCTTGGTTATACAGGTGTGAGCAAGTGTGGCTTGGTTCATGACACCTTGGGGCTAAAGGTTGCTGGACATATTTTTCAACAACTAAGTTTACAAGAGAAAGGTCCAGCATCCCCCATGTTTTACTACTAGAGGATTTTAGAATAGCAAAGTTAAAGGGGGAATTTGTCTTCATTCTTTACTCAGCTTTGCTGACAGCCTTCAGAAGTAATACACAGGGCTACTACAATACCAGCTGAAGTAACTGCAGGGGCAGAAACTTTTTGCAAAATGTGGAAGTTAAAGGAAGCAAGGTCTGGATCATTGGAGTCAGCTTTCTCCCCCAGGGTTTGGAATTAAGTCCACTGAGACATAATTCAGGAGTTTTCTCTGTGAAACAACATAGGACTATGTTCACAAGCTGGGATAGCTTAAGAGCTTAAAATTTTAAAAATTCTGTTGGCTTTAACAAAAGTAAGTTCAGTTCCTTGTTGGTTTCATTTAGGAGATAAGGTCTGGTTCTGGATAAAGTCACAGGCTCCCTCCCTGTTTCATCTCCTTCACATTTCTATACATCTGTATCTATCCATGGAACATCATGTGCTCCCTCATGTATTTTATGATGTCATTTTTGACTGTGGCAACATTTGTTCTGGGAAACCACCTCATCACAGGCTTCCCATCTGGACCAACCAAAAACTTCTCAAAGTTCCACTTGATGTCATGGATCTTCAGAGGTCCCCAGAAAAGTCTGCTGGTGTCACCAAAGCTTTCCGTAACAGGTGGGCAGGAGTTCTACCAGGAGAAAAGCAACAAGTTTTATTTTTACACCACTCTTCTTCCTGGAACTAAACTCCATAATCAAGAAGTAGAATTTTTACTGTAAATGCAAAGGTGGTTTTTTTTTTCATGTTTGTTCCAGCAGTGCTGTAGAGATGTAAACAATCAAGAGCAGGACTCCCAAAGAAGAATGAAACCAACAAAACATTTCTTGCCAGTTGAACCAACTAAGGAGAAAGCAGTGTGTTTATATGCAAGGGTGTGTAAAGGAAGCCCTGGCATGTTTTGTTCTTAAAAGGAGGACCAAGAAGCAATAGCTGGTGGCTCCAATATCAGCAGGGTGCTGCATCTTCTCCAAGCATCAGTCTTGAACCTTTGAGAAGTTATCTATGATACTGAACCTATTTTGGGGGAACGGTTAATGAGTTCAGTCTAAAACCCAGAGAGGATATACTGCCCCACTGATATTGGAGCTACCAACTTCCACAGGTTCATGGATACTTCCAGATGAGACTCTTGTCATGCAATTGCACTGTCTCATTTATGGAGTTTTGCAGGGGCTCAAAACTGTCTTCTATTTGTAGCCCTCTGGCCTTTCCTGACCACTGCTTCTGTTTCCACACCAGAAACACACACCCCCCACACACACAGAGGAAGGAAAGGCAGAAGAGTTGCACAATGCCTCTTGAGCCATATCGCATGCAGAGCCCTCCTCCTGAACACACCCCTGTCTCAACTGAAAAGTGCTCAACCCTTTGACCAACTGCTCCTTTTCTGCTCAACTTTGCTTCCATCTGAAGCCGACTCCTCTCTCTGGTCTAATCCAATGCCGATCACTTTCTAGACAGGCCCACTATCTTTCCTTCACATACCGAACATTCTTTGGCTTGGATCCTGAGTTGCTTGTGCATAAATGGAAGGGGCTCTGATGCAGGAGAAGCACCAACCACTAACAAGAGGGGAGGGCATTTTTCCTGGTTTTCCCTGTGGCCGCCCAGCATCACCTCTCATGCTGTTCAGGAGTTTCACAACCCTTCAAAGTGAATGTTTGAGCACACCAAGGGAAATCTGTGCGAATCGCCCTCCGTCGTCTACACCCATGCAGCCCCTTCTGCTGAAGGGAGGAGAGTTCTGCTCATGGGAATTTAGGACCCAAGCTCGGTGCTCCTCTAGATCTTGTGCTTCCTGAGCTGGGTAGAGAGTTACAGAGTTAAATGCAGCTGATACAAACCTTCAGGAAGGTGTAAACTCTCTGTTCTTTCTCCCCATTCACATCTCCTTTCTGGAAAAGCTGGAAATTTGGGACAAAATTATTTCCAGGTCTGACGTATCTGGAACAGAAGAAAGAAGTCAACAATTTCTGACTTCTGAGAGGTTGCAATACGGAGCAGCCTACCCTGTTCAGAGGACATGCGCCTAGCCTGGAGGGGACAGGGGTTCCATTTTGGAAATCTCTCAGGGGCTGCCTTCCAGCAGTGAGTGGGACTAAAGGCAAAAGAGGTCAAAGCCAACATGCCAAAAATACCTGCACATTTTAGCTCAAAGTGCTTACTGGCCAATAATTAAGTTTAGGAGCAGTAGTTTGACCTTACAGAAGGGGCGAGGGAAAAGCAACTGCACAAAATCCACCAACTGGGAGTTGATGGGGACTGATGTGGTGTGAGTCCATGTGGGGAACTCTGCAGGGCCAGATTTGGCCCAGAGGTCTGAGTTTCAACAACCTCATTCTAGCTTCGAATCCAAGCCTGTCACCCAGCGATTGTACACTCTGTGCCAATGCTCTATCACTACTCCCAGGGCTTTTGTTTGTCATAGAATGCGCCGGGACAGCGTTCCGGCACCTGTTTTCGCAATGGATTTTACGAAGTGATTTTGAATCGCCTGTCAGGCGTAGCAGGTCAGCAGCAAACATCATTAACGTAGTGCCTGCGGGCTGCTTTTGTGTCCACGCCGCCCGGCTTGGGACGCTGCTCGGCTTGGGATTGGTGTGTGTGGTCGCGCGCTGAGTGCTTACTGCCGGCGGCGACGTGAGTTCTGGCACCTTTTCTTTTCTTTTACACAAAAAAAGCACTGACTACTCCCCTGCCCACTTCTGCCCCCCCCCCACAACACCACTACATCCAGGCAAGTATACACTAGGATTCACCAGGTCAGTGGCTTTGCTGGCTTTCTTGCCAGAAGGACAGTGGGGAACTATGCACAGCAGCCAGACTGATAACTGGGACCAGAAGGTCTGAAAGTAGAACATCCGTTCTGGTCCACATGCACTCACTGCCTGTGTGCTTCCAAGCCCAATTCAAGGTGCTGGTTTCTAATGCAATACTTACTAGAGTGCCTCTCCTGCCGTGAACCAACCCATACAGTGAGTTCTTCCTCTAAGGCCCTCCTTTAGTGCCTGCTCCGACAGAGGTTCAGAAGGCACCAACCAGGAAGAGGGACTCCCTCAAAGTGCCCCCCCCCACCATTAATGGAATGATCTCCCCAACTGGCACCCAACAGTATCTTCTCAGCACTTGGTTGACTTTGGCTCAGGTGTTTGGCAGCAAATGATGAGGCTTCAGCTGGTCTTGTATTTTTCTTGTTGATTGGTTGTTGTTGTTTTTAGATATATGTTTGCGTGTATGTGTGGTATGTTCATATGCTTATAAGGTCTTAAACTTTGTAAACCACTTTGTAAACCACTTTTTAAACCACTATTTTAAACTTTGTAACCATTCCTAAGGTCTTAAACTTTGTAAACCACCAAGACAGCTTTAGCTAAAAGGCAGCATAGAAATGGAATGAATATGGATGTGACCACAACACGTACTATCCCCTTCTTGTGCAAAGGAGGATCAAGAATCAATGGGAAAACTACAGAAGAAGGAAGACAAGCAGGCAATAGTCTTCTCCTGAACCTTACAATGCCATGAAGAGTTGAGACAATATAGACTACCTGGCATAGCCCACTGTTCACTCAATGGGCACACTTACTTCAGTCCTGGAAGGATTTCTGAGTTCTCGCCAGGTTCTTGTTTTCCAAACTGATTACATGGGAAGCCCAGAACAACTAATCCAAGATGTCCTAGTTCAGTTTGTAGTGCATTCAGTTCTACAAGAGAGAGAGAAATGCCGCCATCAAAAGGATTCTTATAGCAACAGGAGTCTTATGGGTGCTTCGTGGCTCTTTGAGAAGGAGCCAACTTGGAAATGACAAGAACATTAGCAAGATGGACCACCAAAAGCTCCATAAAAGGTTCTTCAGCAAGTCCATTCTCAGTATTAGCCGTGACCTTTGGAGAGGCTGATTTGTTGGGCAACCGTCACTGTGCAAACATAGCAGTTTAATATCAATGTAATTATCATGGCTTTATACAAAGAATCCTGTGAATTTGGTGAAGCAGTTGAAATGAGCCAGAATTCCCCTAACAGTTTTCCTAGGGCTTGCTGGGGAAAGGGAATGATTAACCTAGCATAAGTCACTGAGGTGGATGTGCCAGGACTGAATCTCCAAACTTGTGATGCCAGATCTCATCCCTAGATTATGTTGTGCAATAATCCAGCAGAAAGTATCTTGCAGTACGTCTGTCCCTACCAATTTATCTCACCTAGTTCTCATATTACTGGAATTAAAAAGGAAAAAGGATTATGAACTTACTAAGCAAATGAAATTGACCAAACAGAACTTTTTTGAAAATGCTAATAAACCAGGGAGATGGTTAGCCTATAAAGTAAAGAAAGAGAGAGAGAAGAGAATGATTTGTAAATTGAAGGGTGGAGAAGAATGACTGCAAGTACAAAGTATACATATCAAGAAAATAGCGGAAGATTTCTTTGCAAAGCTATACCACAATCATGAGATTTCAACTGAGAAAGTAAAAGAATACATCCAAAAGGGAGACCCGATAAAGTTACCGGAGAAATACCAAAAAGTATTGAATCCAGAAGTAACAAGCAAGGAAGTAATAGAGGCAATTAAGCGAGAAAAGAACGATAAAACTCCTGGGCCGGATGGGCTACCAGCAGAGTTTTATAAATCCTTTGAAGGAATTTTTGCTACGCTTCTTAAGGATATATGTAATGCAGCACTGTTAAATGCTAAAATACCAAATACTTGGACAGAGGCAAATATCACATTAATACCAAAAGAAGACACGGACTTGACGCAGATTCAAAATTATAGACCTATATCACTATTAAACGTGGATTACAAAATTTTTGCCTCCATAATGGCAGAAAGGTTGAAGAAGTACCTAACAGACTTTATTCACTCAGATCAAAATGGTTTTTTACCTAAAAGACAAATGAGGAATAACTTGAGAACTATCCTGGACATCTTAGAGTATTAAAAGATACATATGGAAAAACCAATGGCGCTATTATTCATGGACACACAGAAGGCCTTTGACAATGTTAACTGGCAATTTATGAAGCAACAGCTGGCTCAAATGGAGTTTGGTGAAAAGTTTATTAATGCGATATCAAGCATCTATCAAAAGCAGTCTGCTAGGATTATACTCAATGGAGAATTTACAAATAGGATGCCCGCTCTCACCTCTGTTGTTTATATTGATCTTAGAAGTGCTGAACAGAAATAGCAGGGATGATATGGACATTAAAGGTACTAGAATCAGAGATGAAAGCTATAAACTGCAAGCATTTGTAGATGATCTAGTTTTCATAACGGAGGAACCCTTTGTAACAATGCCTAAACTCTTACAAAGGATTGAAGAATATGGTGACGTTACTGGGATGAAAATAAATAGAGAAAAGATGAAACTGTTAGTAAAAAATTTCACACAGGACCAGAGAAAAACTCTGCAGGAACAAGTAGACTTGCAGATTGTTAAAAAGGTTAAATATTTGGGAATTTATTTTATAGCTAAATGTACCACTCTGAAAGAAGACAACTATGATAAACTATTGAAGGATATTAAGAGTGATTTGGAAAAATGGGCTAATTTGCAATTATCCTTGCTGGGAAGAAAAGCACTAGTTAAAATGAATATACTACCAAAGCTTTTGTTTTTCTTGCAAATAATTCCCATAAAAATTGATAGAAAATTTTTTGATGATTTAAATTTTCAAATTTCAAGATTTATATGGAGAAAGAAGAAACCAAGGATTAAACCAAATATACTTCAGGAGGCTAAAGAGAATGGGGGCTGGTCTCCCTGATTGCATGCTGTACTATCAAGCTTCTGTTTTAATGTGACTAAAAGAATGGATAACTTTAAGGAATTACAGAATCTTGTATCTTGAAGGGCATGATTTGCAAATGGGCTGGCATGCTTATATGTGGTATGAAAAGGCTAAGCTATATGGCTCTTTTTTAAGTCACTATATTAGAAAATCATTAATGTCGGTGTGGGAAAAGTTAAAGACAAAATTGTATAATAAATTGCCAAGATGGCTTTCACCTATGGAAGCTTTTGTATATCCAAATGCATTGAACTTTGAAGGGATCATAAGATATGATAATATTCTGGATAAGGATGGAGAATTGAAACTGAATCAAGAATCACAAGAACAGGGATCTAATATCTCTTGGTGGCATAAGGCGCAGATACAATCGAGATATGCTAAAGACTATAAAACGTGGGACTTTTATAAGGATTTAACAGCATTTGATCAGGTGATGCTTAAATCAGATGAGAAAATGATTAAAAGACTATATAATTTCTTACTTGATAGGAGAATGGAAGACGGACAGGTTAAGGAAACTATGATAACGTGGGCACAAAACTTTGGATGTAATATTGAATTAGAAAAATGGCAAAAGCTGTGGGAGAGAAATATTAAGGTAACATTAGCAACTTCGTATAAAGAAAACCTGTATAAAATGTTTTATAGATGGTATCTGTCGCCAAATAGATTAGCTAAGATGTTTCCAAATATGTCAAATGGATAGTTGGAAATGTAAACATAAACTGGGTACTTTCTATCATATGTGGTGGACTTGCGATAATGTGAAAAAGTATTGGATTAAAATACATAAATGGCTTGAGGAATTGTTACAAAAATCTTTAGCTTTTAAACCTGAAGTCTTCTTATTAGGCATTATACCTGCTGAACAAGAAGTGTATCTGATTTTACATGTAATTACTGCAGCGAGGATTGCATTTGCTCAACACTGGAAAAGTGAAGAACTACCCACCGATGAACTAATCCTAAAAAAGATCTTGGACTGTGCAGAAATGGATAGATTGACTTTGTCATTGAAGGAGAAAGAAGATATTGATTTCTATCAAACTTGGGACTCTTTTTTTTTATTGGCTAGAGAAACGGGACTTCGTATAGATTTAAATATGTTTCTAAGTTATCATAAATGGGAAAAAAATGTGGGGGCTGACCCAGCAGGCCCAGTGTTTTTGATGATTGATGCTGTTTTTAGTTTTTCTTTGTTTTTAGGATTATAATTTTGAATAAAACTTATTATCAAAAAAAAGCAAAAAGGATCCTGTAACTTCTGATCATACTGGAAATCCAGCCCTTCTCTTGGCAGAAATCAACTCCCTGGACTGTTTTTCTGGGCTTCTCTTCCAAGCTGGGAATCTTACCAAGATACTGCATGGTGAGTCCTCAGAAGGTGGCCACATTTACAAAGAGAAGCAGCTTCCCCGCATACTTTTGGAAGGGGATGTACTCATCACCATGTATGGAGAGAGCCCCATAGTTATAAACCGTGCCTGATATTGACGGATAGCAGTCCACCTGGAAAACACAAAGACACAGAGGAGGAGAAAGAACACACTCTGAATAACTATGAATACAAATCCTGAAAAGAGGTGTGTTGACACATCATAGATTTCCATACATGCCCCTCGTAGTCCCATCCACATGAATATTTATGATCCCCTGGATTTGTGTGCTGCCTGGGACCAGCCCTATCATTAAGCAAGGTGAAGCAAGTACCTCAGGCAGCTAGCCCATGGCAGCTGACCCCAGGCATTGCTCCAGAACCCCCACAGTTCCCCTCAGTGGAAGGGCAGAGCTTTGCAGGGTGCATGTCCAATCCAGCATCCTCAGTTATGGTGGGTGGAAGACACTAGCCCTTTGCTACACTTGAAGTCAGACTCAGCTGCCTGTCCAAGCAGGAGAGGATATGTGTGGGGAAGGTGGGGGAGCTCAGTCCCAAGAGAGGCCTCAGCCATGTGCTCCTTAGGGTTCTAGGAAAAAATTAAGTAGATCCCAGAAGACTGACATCCACCCCAGTGCAGCCATGACTGAGCTAGAGAGGCCATGACCTGTTCTTGCATAAAGCCACTTTCTTTGGCAAGATGAAGCCACCTGGTGCCCTCCCTAGTCATTGTCGATGTTAGCTAGAGTTTATGGAGTCACAGTCCGCAATGTCTAGAGGTAGAGCTGCCTATTCCTGCCCTATGGTGTAGCTATAGTACTTTCTAATCCATTTCTAAGGCGCTGCCCCATCACTAAGCTTCTGATGGTAACCTAGGCCTAGAGACACTTGGCTACAAGGATTTCACTGGAATATTTAATCATTCACTCTGCTGCTCTCCTGAACGCCAGAAGTTCAGCCTATTTGCGTCACAGGCCAGTGCAGGGCCACCATGAATCAAGCATGACCCATCCATTTCTTCACCAATTTGCTTTTCTGTTTGCTGGGAAAGTGACAGGATGACAGAGATGTTCCCTTTGCCCTTGACATTTAATCTTCCTGGCAGGTGTTTAATTAGGATGATAAATAAAAACGTGTTTACCATTCAGGGCAATGGATGGAGCAACAGTCCAGAGGATGCAGCTGGGACCCACAAAAAGAAGACCAGGCCCCAACCCTCCAGTTGTTTGGGACCGTCAGCCCCAGTGAGGACAGCCATTGGCAATGAGCAGGGGTGATGGGAGTTGTAATCCAACCAGCTGGAGAACACCGGGTCCTGCGCCTTAAGAGAGCAAAACTAGAAGCCTGGCCCTGAGCGACCTTTTGGATGTAACTAGAGATTCATAAGAGATGTGGCTTCTGTAGGAAATGGCCTCAAATTTTTAAAACGTAATGACTAATGGCCACCACAACCCATTTCCAGTCAAATGCAACAGAAGTTGTTCCTGATAAAAGTTTCCTTCTGCAGAAATGTGTGTTTGCTCCTAGATCCTAGAGATAAGAAGAGGAGTGCTGGAACATGCTAATTGAGTATAATTAGTTAGATCCTGTGCCTCTTTCAGGCTGTAAAGGCTCAAGGCAGTTCATGCACATCCACGCACAAAGAATGACACAATGCCAACTCGCGACACAAGAGAGACCATTCTGGATCCCAGCAAGTAAAACACCATTAGCTGTTGACACCACAAACTATGGCTTTAAAAGACCGAACAGTTAAAAAATTAATACATGAATAAATCATCAGTTGAATGCAATTAACTGCAATTAAAATCTTGGATAAGCCCTGGGAAGGGGCATTTGCTGGGTCTTTAAAGGAAATTTCAGGTAGGGGGTCATGGGTACATATTACTTGTGTGCTTTGTCTAGGATGTCATTCTTTATCCATCTAGCTTCATATTCCAAATTCTTTCCATTTAAACTGAATTTAATAAATGCAGGAAAGAGGGGAGGGGAAATTACCATTAAAAAAACTGGGGAAAAGCTTTCCCTTTACGGCACCCCAGCTGACCTTGGGCAGGGCAAAGGCAGAGCTGTGTATTGTGGTTCACCAGTAACTAAGCCTTAAGATAGCCATATCAGACTTTTAGCAGTTGGCCACTGGGCAAGGTATTGCTTATCTCCATGCCTGCAAGACATTGAAAAGTTTCGCCTTGGGAAAGTGAAATGCTCCTTTCCTACAATGCAGTGGACCAAGAACCTTATAATGCTTTCAGCATTTGAATGAGTGGCACATAGACATCATCTTCAAATGGATACTTATTTGGATATCTCATCTGCTTTTCTTGAAGCCTATATATACATGATGGCTCAAAGGTTGTACTGTATTTCCATAAGCATGCATTTCATTGGTACTCATTGCTATGGATACATATACATTTGCATGCATGTGTACATAGAACAAAGTTTCACCTGCTGGACTGCAGATCAAGTTGTTTTCCAAGAAATAGACCTTTAAATTTTATTTTTTTTAATTTAATTTAATTAAAACATTTATATGCCGTCCTTTGCAGCAGCCTCAGGACGGCTTACAGAAGGTAAATATAACAATATAAATAACAATTTAGTACTATAAATATCATTAAAACATTCAACTATAAAACAAATCAACAACAATATATCATCTCATGACTAAAGAAAAGAAAAATAAAAGAAAATGAAGATGCAACTATTTACAATTAAAGATATTTTTAAAATTAGTGATATTAACTATTAAAATGATGGCTAAATAAAAAGGTCTTTACCTGGCGCTGGAAAGAGTAGAGAGTCGGCTCCAGGCGGACCTCTCTGGAGAGCATGTTCCATAGTCTGGGTGCCATCACAGAAAAGGCCCTCCTCTGCATGCATACCCTCCATAACTCGTTCAAAGAGGGTTCCCGAAGCAATGCCTCCCCTGCCAATCTTAAGGGGCGTGAGGGCATATAGGGGAGGAGATGTTCCTTCAGGTATCCTGGACCCAAGCCATTTAGGGCTTTATAGGTAAGTACCAGCACCTTGAATTGGCCCTGGACTTCAACTGGGAGCCAGTGAAGCTCATAGAGGACTGGTGTTATATGAGAATACTGCCCAGTCCCCATCAGCAGCCTGGCAGCTCCATTTTGTACCAATTGAAGTATCCGGACCGTTTTCAAGGGCAGCCCCATGCAGAGTGCGGTGCAGTAATCCAACTGGGAAGTTACCAGAGCATGTGTCGCTGTTGCTAGGCAGTGCTCGTCCAGGTAAGGATGCAGCTGGTGGATCAGCCAAAGCTGAAGGAAAGCGCTCCTCACCACCACCGTCACCTGGGCCTCCAGGGACAGCTCTGGGTTCAGGAGCACTCCTGGGCTGCGGACCCTGTCCTTTAGAGGGAGTGCACCCCCCGTCCAGGACAGAACCAATGAAATATAAGTGTACAGTTCTTTTCCTTAAGGCACTAATCATTGTCATAACCAAGCCTCTGTTACTTTGCTCTCCTCCCTTCCTGCTTCTCATATCTGTCTTTTGGGGTTGGTTTGCCAGGCCAGCATTGGTGGTGGTGTTTTGCCGAACTAGCACTTAGTTATTGCTGAATGCAGGGCCTTAACAAAGGGCTTTCTGTTGTGCATTTCTGTTCCTTCACTCATTCACAGTCGTTTCCAGGTCCTTTGCACACAGTTGTCATCCTTTCAGGGCCTCTCCCATGTTTTGCAGTTATTTGGGGGGTTTCTTTGGAGTGAAGGCAATGAGCCATTATTCTGTCAGGACATGATGAAATGCTAAAAACACTTATAAATTCGCAATTCCTCTATATCATCATGCTACAGAAAGGCAGAGAAAGAAGATCCTGGGGAAAAACACGTTTAGCGGAAGCAGTCTACTCCCACTAAGGCGGAAGCAGCCTCAGAAAAGCAGCAGGATAAATGCCTCATGCAGAGACGCCAAACTCGAAGATTGGTTTCCTCTAGTTGACAGGAACTGTGTTGAAGTACAGCTGGTGACCATACCCACTTTTGGATGAAGCATCCAGTGCCCCAAAGGTTTACAGAAGGGCTAAAGCAGAGTGTTTAGGTTAAATCTTTGTGGGGCGGGGGGAGGTTGTTAATATTTGGGCCTAAAAAAGAAGAAGCAGTTAACTGTGTTTTGTTCTCTTGTTGGTGGAGAAAATAAGCACCCTTGGAAATCTGATTTAAATATAGAGTGACAAGGCACTATTATAGCACAGGCAAGATTTACTCATTCCTGCACTGCATTTCCCAAACTAACCAAAGGTAGAAGTCCCAAAACAATTTGAACTATTTATTTCAATCAGTCTGGCAAATGGCTGTTCTGTTTTTATGTACTGTTGAAAACACCCAGAGAGTGTTGGCAATGGGGTGCTATAGAAATGAAAGTAGTAATCTTACGCCTAAGCACCATCCAGGAAATCCCTGGTTAGGATTGTCCCTAAGGGTGCATTTGAAATTTGCTCTAAAGAGGATCCCAGAGCAATCCTGCCCATTTCTACTCAGAAGGAAGCCACACAGACTTCAGTGGGGTTTACTCCCAGGTGAGTGGGTCTAAGATTCCAGCTTTGGTGTATCTGAAACATATGCAGTCACTCTTGCCCACTAACAGTTGCAGTGGCAGCAATATATTCTTTCTGTGGTCTTCTAAGTGGTCTATTTATTTATTTAATTCATTTAAAAAAGTTTGTATCCCATCCTTTACAGTGACTCAGGGTTGTCTGCAGTGTCCATACTAGCTCAAGTTCTTTTCTTCCTTTTAATCATGGAATGTTAGTTTGAAATAAAGTTTAAAAAAAAATAAAGGCAAATAAGAAGAACTTGCAAAACAAGATCTCTAAGAAAGAAAGGAAACTCAGGGGTAATGAGCAATGCACTGGTGTGTTCCCTGGCTGCCCACAGGAACAGCTAAAAGATCCATGGAGCCTCTGCTTTGTAGTGTGGCAATATGTGGACCCCGAAGAAAAGGAACCAGTTAACTGTGGTTTTTTCTCTCAACTGCTCCTTCTGCAAGCAGGAGTGGCTAAACAAACTGCTCTTGTGCATCCTGCCCTAGATAAATAATGGCAAATGTACCTGTGGGAGCAAGCAACTAAACATAGACTGCAATCAGTCATGGTTAGTCATTCTGTTTGGAATGGTATGCCTTTCAGGAGAAGTCTGGTCTCCCACTCAACCAGCTCGGGTTGGCTGCCACAGCTTTGTGCAGTTTAGCATGGTGCAGTTTAGAATCTGTGCATTGCATCATAAATATTACACCCCCGTAGCTTTTCTTCCATGACCTCCGAATCAGTTTGAGTCTCGTTTGTGTCTCCCCAAGAAACCAGAGATATATGTCATGGTTTGTTATTGGCTTAAAATTTTGGTTTGTTTGTGGAGAGAGAAGCCAGAATCCTGGTTCAGATGTCATGGGTAGACCAACAAACCCATAATAGCGGCTTGCTCTTGGTCTGTGGTTTGCTTAGGTCAGCCTTCCCCACCTTGGCACCTTCCAGATGTTTTGCACCTCAACTTCCATCAGCTCCAGCCAGCATGGCCAATAGTGTGCAATGATAGGACTTGCGATCCAAAGTGTCTGGAGGGCACCAGGGTGGAGAGTGTGGCTGAGTCACTCCCACTTGTAGGAGCGGCAAAGCAGGAACAACTGAGCAGTTTGCATGTGCTTGCTGCTTATGAACAATACGGCCAGATTCTCTTGCTGGACTGAAGAATCTCCATTTCAGTGATCAAAGTGATGCTATTTATTGTCTTCTACAATGCAATCTGGAAGACATGGATGCCCATGACTTCAAAGGGATTATTCCCTAGCATGTTTGTTTAGGATTACAGCCACAATCGCAGCACAGAAGGTCTCCATGCTCTTAGGAAGCTGCCTTATACTAGGTCAAACCAACAGTCATTAGCCCAGTAATGGCCACCAGTGGCCCTCCAGCAAGGCTTTTTCCTAGCCCTCCTTGCAGCTGCCAGGTATTGAATTCGGGAACTTCTGCACACAGAACTAGTGTGCTGTTCGTCTGGCGTTGTTGAAGAAATATCGTCACCCCTCTTGTTCTTGCACTTGGTGATGGCAACACTTCTCCCTTTGCTGCAACTCATGGAAGGTTGTTTTCCGGTTGGTCCCCTAAGAAAGTGGTTTTCTGCAATGGAAACGGCTCAACTAGACCAGCAGCCAAGTGGCCATTGCTTTTTCCCTTTCAGGTCCATGTGGCTTTCTCAGTCATGCTCAGATTTCACTGCCTGAGGTTTTTCTGACATCACCATCGTACTGTTTGCCTGGGCAGACAGAAAGCCCTTGGAGTAAACACATCATCTGTGGCCTATTCTATCTTGCCTAACCTTGTCCTTTGGACTGAGAATACTGGCATACAGAAAAGTTAAACCTGCCTCTCATTATTTTTTCTTGGGCATCACAGTCCCAACATGTCTTCTTTTCCCTTTCCTTCTTAGAATTAAGGTTCTGTGCTATAGGACAATCTTCACAATCTGGAGCTGTATCTTTCTGGGTTCCTCTCTTCCCTCTATTTCAGCCTTGCTTCAGTCCAGATTTCAATACAGAGAAAAAAAAGGGGTATCTGAGAGGATCCCCATAATTTATCTTTCTAAGTAATTCATCCAGTTTTAAGTTATACTTTGGAATGTTGTCATGGCTGTTTCTTGTCACAATAATCCTGCGAGGTAGAACTCTTGTGTACTGCATAAGAGAATTTGGGATCTATGGACATGAAGAGTCTTCATGCTCTGCCAAATTTCCCTGAGCATGTTGATTGAATAAACCTAGAAAATGTGCACACCTTTCTCTTTCTTTTGAATAAACTCCACTAAGGAAACAGATAGCTAGGCGGAGGAAAAATCTGCCAGCTAAAATGTCAGGAATGAGCAGGCCACAACAACAGACTGATAAGCAAACAGCATCCATTCCTTTCATCAAGCGATAAGAAGCTGCTAGTACAGAATGAGAGAAATACCCCCTTTGTCCTTTAACATGACAAACAGCCATGACAGCATAAGTGCAAATGTGCATCTTGCTCTAAAAAATAGCTGCAAAGGCACCTGTGGAAGCGAGCCGCTCAGCATTAACGGCAATCTGTCATGGTTAGTCATCCCGTTTATAACATGTTGCTTTTCAGGAGAGGTCTGGTCTCTCGCTCAGCCAGCCCAGGCTGGTCGCCACAGCTTTGTAAGAAGGATGGATGGTGCAGTTTAGTATCTAAGCACTGTAGCAGAAATATCACCACCTGCTCGGCAGCTGTTGCTCAACCTCACCCATTGCTGCTGCCAAACACCGACGTGCGTACAGCCGAACGCAGCCGCCGCCAGGCCCCCAGAATCTCCCGCTCAGTCCTCGGTGGGGCGCCCACTCCCACGGAGGCGCGCTGCAGTCAGGGGCTTACCTTCGATTGCTCCTGTCCCCGACCGGGCTGAGCCAAGCCAGCTAAGAGCAAGGGGACCATCCATGCGCCCGGGAGTCTGCCCCTCATGATAGGGGCAGCGGCAGGGCAGGGGGCAGGCGCCCTCTCCCCGCGCAGGATGCTGCTCGATGGAGGCGCGCCTCCGCGTCGCCACTCACACTGGCACCTTCCAGCGCAGCCGCTGGGCTAAGTAATAGGACGGCGCCGAGCGCCTGCAGCCAATCGCGGCGCGGCGGGGACCGGAGGGCCGCTCCTTCCATGTTAACCGTGTGGGCTCTGGGCCCGGGCGCTCCTCCCGGGCGGAGGCGCTGCCTCCGGCACAGGTATTTTCGGGCTGCCTGCGTGCCAAGGCCCACCTCAGAGGAAGTCAAGGGGCAGAACTTGGGTTGAAGGGGAGATTGGAGAATATAATGTGTCCTCACTTGTCATGCAGACAGTGCCAAAAATAACACGATTCTGGGATATGCCGGGACAACAAGAATCCCACATCCCAAGCGTATCCCTTGGGCTGCAGTCCTATATCTGCTTACTCAGGACTAAGTCCCACTGAACTTGGTCTGCTCATTCAGAACTGTCCCAGAGCTACATCTTCCTATGACATCTAATTTACACCCAGGGAATTTGGGGGATCTACAATCAGGATAGAATTACTCTGGCTTTCCAAAGCAACACATTCTCTAGATCAGACTGCAATTTCAGGAAATCATATTTCGCTATCAAGAAAAATCAGAAGGGAACATTTGAAACCCTACCCGATAAAAAACACTAGTAAGGGGCTTGAGGAATTCTGTTCTATAAACTGGTATCTTCATTTACTTTTAAGTGACATTTTACACGTGTGTAGATGAAAGATGAAAAGCCTCAGGTGTACCTGCAATTGCAATCTAACATCCCATTGTATCACATTCCCCCAAATACTGGAGCCTAAAAAATCACTCTTCTGTCTCTCCTAAAGCCTTGGCAGCACTACAGCGGGATTGAAAGATGGCTATTCTCCGAGAAATGTACATTTTGTCCATGGTCTCTGCCACTGATCTGGAAAACATTTCTGAGGCCTGATGAGAGATACCTTTGGGTGTCTTGGTCTCTATAGCCATTGCAACATTTTTGGGAAAGGCTGAGGCAGTGTTGCAAGGAGGGGAGGCTGGTTGTATCTGATGAGATACTTCCACAATTCCACATGCCAGCCCTGGTGTCTCACCTGTGCTAAGATGATGACATAATCAGGCCTAGAGGGTGGTGGAAACTTTAATCATGTCCCTTCCTACCACCACCCTAGATTAGCTGCTGATCACTAATCTAGCAGTTGAAAGAAAGAGTTGGGTATGGCTGTGTGTGCACACAATTTTCAAACACTACTCAGAACCATAGAATTGTCTCAATTTAGAGAAGAACTTATCAAATGCCAGCTTTCATCCATATACAGATACATTCACTATATGCAACATGCAATTGTATCATTTAAGGTCCAATTCTATGTATAATGGAACAGAAAAAAGTCTACACTTCCCAGCATGCTCCAGCCAGGTTTTTGCCCCTGTCTAAACATAGAAACCACTGGGAAGGGCAATACAGGTTACACTGAAAGGAAGAAGGCTTGGGTAATTATCACAAGCTTGTGCACTGTGGGACAACACCTCTCATCAATTTTAGCCAGCATAGCCAATGATGAGGAATGATGCAAGGTGCAAACAGCAACATGGAGTGTGTGTGTGTTGGGGGGGGGGCACAAGTTGCCCACCTGCAATCATTTTAGTAATTTCTTAGACCGCATGTGTTCTCTTCCCTACAAAGAGTTGGAGAAAGCACAATGGGTTTAAATGAACTAGTATCTCTTCGGGCTTTTCTATATGACACAATTTTCATTCATTTGCCATTTCATACTCATGGTTGTTTATAGGTTCTTCAGATGACATCCTGAACCCCCAGTTTCACTTCTGAATCTAACCAGAAATTTTGGTGTGTGTGTTTTAAAAGAGCAGGTTAACTGCAGCTTTTAATTGTGAAACCAAAAGAAAGTGTGCTTTGCATTTGTGTAACACTATTCCATTATACTGCAGTGCCACCTAGAGGTTATGCAATGCAAAAGCAGGAAAGGAAATATTTCTCTTGTGTTCAGATCTCAATTCTATGATTAAACTGAAAATATATTTCAGTGGACTAACAGCCTTGTCTAAAAACATCTCTAAAAATCTAACCTGTGTATTGTGCTTTTAATGAGTCATGCAGATTCACAGGATCTATAGACTAGTTTTACTTGTTGGGAGTGGGGGAGTGGATTTGCATTAATTTGCATCAACGTAAGAGCATTTTATTTGTACAGCCTTTGTGCACTGTTCCATATCCAGGTGAATTCTGGAATGGTGAACAACAAAAGTTAAAAACAATTAGAAGAAGAAGAAGAAATTAGAGCTGTGGCATTTGTGCATGAGGACAAGTTGAATGAAATGCTATTTTAAAATATCCACTTACATCCATGTAAGAACAAAAGGACAAGAGACACCTGACATTCCACAAAGCACAGGTGGAACACACTTAGCAAAGTTGATACACCCCTATTCCTCACTCACGCAGGCACTGAAACAGGCATCCTGCCTTTGATGCCGGCAACGCTTCCTAACAGCAATTTGAGAACGTTGCCCTTGCGTGCTATTTTGCCCCAGAACGTCCTTCATGTGCAGCTGGAGTCAGACAGTGGAAACCTGGATGAAGTTCGCCGGAGGGGCAGCACTGGAGTAAAGGCAGTGTTGTTTCGGGGACCTGGGCAGGACACCTGAGGGTGTCTGAGAGGGAATGTAGCCTCCTGGGAGTGAGGATGTTTTCCAGGCAAAAGGTCTCCAAATCACTCCTGGGCCTCTCTAGCCAAAGAATAGGCACAGTAGCCTCCACAGGACTGGCTACATGAGGTGGACTATTGGTCTGAGTATAAAGCGACTTATACAGACTTACTTCATACGGTTTCAGTAGTCACTCTCTGGTCTTCTGGAGAACAGGCATGTGGAGATATCCCAGAGTTCTTCTTGGCTTTGCTTTCTGCACTGCACATGATCATGGCTTCTGGGATGAGCTGAACCACCCTGAGGAGGGGAAAAGCAGGAACTCCTCTGTGATATCCAGATGGTTAAACATGGCCAGTGTCTCTGTTCTTTGGAGGGAGTCATTGATGTTTCCTTCGCTTTCACTTCTCTCTCAGCAGCATCAGCCCCCTGAATTTTCATCAAGCACTCTTTGTGGACTTGTAGGGTGGCACAGTGTCCTGCTTTACAGAGGGCAGTGCTCAGTTCAGGGGATAGTCCTCTAACTGAAGATCTCCTCTATTGGAAGGTGTGTCCAGTCCAAGTCCAGCTTAAAAATAAGGACCCATAGGAAGGGTAAGCTTCAGAAGAGTTAGCCATGATACGCTATGGAAGCAAAGTTATTTTGGGGGTGTAGTTCAGCACCCTGGATAGCTCCCACAAGCTAAAGTAAGGTGCAAAGAATGAGGAGGCCCAGCTACAGAGGAAGCACTGGTCTTCCCAGGATGAGATATATTCCATTTAAATTATAATTGCCATTTCAGAATTTGCACCTATGCCCATACATTTTGGGTGTGCAAATTTGTGTCCTCTTGCTCTGGTGCTACATTTCCACTTTTTATTTTGGCTTTATAAACATGGCTACCCTATCAAGGGGTTCGCATAAGAGCAGGTGTAGATAGGTCCCAGTGAACGGGATCTCCTGGCTTACAGAGGTGCAGGTGACTCCAGCAATCCCCATAAGCCAGTGTGGTGCAATTTGAGGTGGAAAACGGACTACCTTGATGAGTCTGTGTTTTGTGATCTCACACCTTGGTAGAAGGTGATTCAGCACCATTGTGTAAACTAGGCTTTGCATTTGACTGCATGTTTGATGGCCATTTGATCCATTTGACTAGAGCAGGCAATGGAGAGAGATAGCCAGCAGATCTTGCCAAGTGTCTTCTGGGGCATTATTGCTGTTCATTAAGCTGATGGATCAAAGTGGTTTCACCCACCCCCCACCCCAGACTTTGAAGGTTGGAATAGTCAAAACTTTTCATCTTGCCTTTGAGACAAATTACATGCTCCTATGCATGGTACCGGTTGCCTAGATCAAGCCAAACAGGTCAGCCACACAGGGCAACGGTCTTTTGTCTGGAAGTAAAACAAAGGACACCAAAAGCCACCAAAAGGACTGAGAATCTCAGATTAGGAAAGCAATAAATATATCACCTCTTTTTCATAACAAACTAGAAGCCACACAGGTGCCACAATGGGATAGTGTGGAAATCAGTGTTTCCCAAGAGAAAACAGGAATTTTCAGAGAGAGGGTAGATAGATAAGTGACTGTCAGGAAGACAAAATGGTCAGATGACTTATTGATCTAATGTTGACTGTTCCAGAAATCACCAGATGGTCAGCACAGAGAACAAACAGAGAGCTAAAGCTAAATTGAAAGCAAACAAAGGGGGAAATTCATCTGAATACTTCAAGACTGTTTTTGCTCTTTTCCAACTATTCTGACTTCACCTTCAAAGTATTATTAGTATTAATTTGCATGACCCTATTGGCAGCCCCAGTATCAGCTCCCCTTCCCACCACCTGATCATTGCCCCTCCCCTCCCCTCCCTGTTTCTGATACCTCTTTGGAGGTATCGTTCATGTGAACAGCTGCCTAAATCAAGTCTAGAAGGAACCATGAGAAGGGAGAGCACCATGGGCCTTGATCTAGAGTTGAAGTTGTCCATCAACAGTTTTAGCACCTGGTCTCAACGGACGAAGCTTACAGATAACACAAGTCACAGTGTCAAACTCTTCCTCAGTGGGGTGAGCAGTATTGTATTTCTATTGGAATTAGAGCAAATTGTTCTAAATAAGTGCAAATTTTCTGCAAATCTGTGTCATCTTTTTTGGCAACCTTCTTTTTGGGGGTGCGTTAGTGGCTACCCTGCCTAGGGGGTGGTGCCTGCGGTGCTGCCAGGCACCACCCCCTCCCAGATGTGCCTGGCAGCACCGCAGAAGGCCGACAGATGGCACAACAGCAGCAGTAGGTGGCGGGGGTGGGGGGAGGAAAGATGCCGTAATGGGGAAGTAAGTACTTGAGCAGGTTGGATGAGGGATGGGATCAGAGCAGGAGAAGAGGGCAGGAGAGGTGAGGCTTTCCTTTC